ATAATAATAGTTGGCTCAGCACCCGAATAATTTACCACTAGGACTAGCACCTATACTGTACAACATTTAAGAGAAAAACTGAAAACTTTGTACATTATAAATAAATATCTACAATAAATACCTAAAGTAATACTGGATAATGCTTTTGCTATTTTTTACTGACTGGCTAAGCGACTGATTTTTATTGATAGTGACTAATTTAAGTATTTTTATATAAATTAATATACTGTACTGATCACTATGTTGCACAAGCACCCAATCTCTAAATAAATTAATACATTACTCAACATATATATATAATTCAATCAACTCATTAGCCAATTAATCAATAACAATGATTATATATAATACATGTACAGTATAATTATATTGCATAGGTGAGTGTATACATACACACACACACTGACTCCCAAATAAAAAAATATATACTGTACTGTATATATAAATAAACACTGTACACACATTTTATATTTATTTTATTTATTTTACAAAGAGCACCTTCTCGATTAACTTGTGACCCTGTGACTAGCAAGCTACCACAGATGTTAAGCACTATTACCCAATTCCTGGGAACACTTGGACTTGGAACGTTTGTGACTTTGATATTCATGCACACTGGTTGGAAGCTATGACAGCTTGTCAATCTGAGGCAGAATTCCTTGACTGATCTCCAAGTTCTAATTCTTTTGTGGGGTCACTTGTTGAATGGTCCAAATGATGAACTGGCAAGCATCTGGTAGTGAGTTCTGAACCCAGACTGTGAACTTTGTAATAATGTATGCGCTTCACACGTAAATTTGTTTTAAAATGCTGTACAGTATATGCATACATACATATATGCATGCATGTATACAGCCTTTTATAAACAATTTGCTTTATGGACTTTGCCTCAGAAAAGGCAAGGTGGTACAATTTTCTAACAGAGACCAGACTACCAAGTACAGAACTATATTTACAAAACAATCAAATCTTGGAATTGGAATCACAGTTACCAACCAAACGAGATACAAAGGCAAATCTCCCTCATATGAATGGACATTTGGGAGCCAGTTTTCTTTGCAACCACCAAGCAGAGGTAGGGTTTTAGTCAGGAAATTAGATCAAACCAAATTTAGGTACAGAGTGTACCCACCTGCACCAATCCCAACCCAAGGTTACTTATCACATTTAGATAAGACTTGAAGGGAAATTTATGGATTACTCCAGGTGTTTTGTGAATTCAAGATAATGTTTCAACGGGGCAAACATATGTTACTGAATATGTTATTGACAACTTGCATTGTACAATGGTTAAGAAAACTAAAAAGACTTTAATGTAATTATTTATTATTGTTACTATTAATTATTATTAATAATAGTAAGGATAGGTTTTGATTCTAGAACCTATTACCCTCATTCATTATAAAATGTGCTGACAAAAAAAAAAAAATGTTGAATGAAATGAAATGTGTGTACCACACATTTCGGCTCGGCACCAGTAGCCTCAGGAGCGAATGCACTGGCACTATTGTACTGACTATACTAGCCAACACAAGGTACCCATTGGACTCGATGTCTGTTGGTGACAGGGATGCTTGAAGTCTTCCCTGACTGCCACCTCAACATTGGATGCACATAATGATGAGAACTGAAACCAATACCCAGGCAAACTGCCCGCAAATAATTTCCATTTCCAGGGGTGTATAGAGCTCTCCCTAGGCTAACTATTGACCGTCCCTATATCAGTGAGGGCAGCTACCCAGCTTGGGAATGGTAGATAGGGAGCCTTAAGAACCCAAAGGTACAGAAGTCCCACACAACTAGACCATAAGACAATCAAGTTTATAGCCATATATAAGGTGTGAGAATTGTGAGAACAACCAGTTTTGGCATCATGCAGCTAGCACACCTTAACCAGCAACCTCAACAATGGGGTAGCAGTGAAGCAGGACAAACCAAGTAACCTACCCTTCATGAACTATCTAGTTCAATCCAGAAGGCTAAAAGCCCCACAATATCAGACATAGGCCTAGGTTGCAAGGTATTCAGTACCTAACAAAGGTGGGTCAGAAAAAGTATAAAAATAAAACGTAAGGTACCCCATCAGATGCCTAATTAGAAACAACACTATAGCGCTACCCCCCTAGAATTTTCAGATTCTTGCAAAAAAAACCTTTGAATAAGGTAGTGAAGAAATTCAGTTAACTGAACACTTCAATTAAGTAAAAAAAGGAGGAACTCGGATAACCCAAAATACTGTAATGAACCAAATTTTCAGACCAACTTTACATAGTAATTTCTAGCAAAATTTTTTTTCAAAAAACATTTTACTGTACTGTAACTTTGTAATAAATTGTACAATACATAATAGCTTGTATGTGACTGGTGTGAAGGTGGTCCAGTACTGAGCATACTGGACGTGTCCTTCCTTCCTTCTGTTCTAGTTCGGTGTTTCCTCTCAGAATTTCAGTCTTCTTACTTCTGATATTTTGTAATGTGTGCATAGAAAAGATGTTTGCCAGCAAGAGTACTTAGGCTAAACTGTGTAGGAGGAAGACAACGAATTTTAACACAGATTAAAAGGCTAAATTAATAGGGAAAAGTGATCTTGGTAGGGACTGAAGATGCTGGCAGAAATCTTTTGAAAATTCTTTTAGTGCGCTCTGCAATGGAGAGGTACATTCTTGCAAAACCAATAGCAAGCAGAGCATTTTAAGCAATATTTCTGACATAAAAGGTAGATAAAGAGTTCTGGTGGTAATGACCAAGAACAATATTCTCTGGGGCACAAATTTGTATGTGTTTTATTTGATCAAGCAGTTTACAAGCACTGTACTGCAGTTGGCCAGAATAGGGAGGATCTTTAGTTATTAAAAGTGCTATTTTTATTATAGGGGGTCTCATACAGTTGGCTTCATTCTCAACGCACAATCGAGGATGCCTGGTTCAATTTTTGGGCATGATAGAAATGTTTGGGTACATTTCCTTTCACCTAATGCCTCTATTCACCTAGCAGTAACTAGTTACCTGGGAGGGAAGTTATGGAACTGCTGTGGGATTGCATCCTGGGGAGGGTCAGTAATTTGACCTCATATAATTATAATGTGTGTACATACTTATGTATATATATATATATGTTTCAATTTTCCCATTTTGAGACCATTATTTACCCAGGTTTCCTTTTGTTAATTAACCTTAATATAGGTTAATTAACCTTATGTCAAAACTGGACATATAATATATTATTAAAATAATTTTAATTAAATAGTTGGGCCTGAAATGCATTCTATTTTTCCCCATTAGATCCTTAACAAAATACTATGCAGTTTGCCTTTCCACAAGGTGCCAGTGAATGCATTCCCACATGACACTTGTTAATGTACTGTATACAACATACTGTACACGAGTCATGTACATTAACCCTTACATAGCAGATCACATATCCCCCAAAAATACAAAAAATCCACCCATCACTTCCTGTCTTGAGTGCTATTCACCAGACTTATTGATTAATATAATATAGTCTGGTGTATGGGAAGACCTACAGTCAGTATTTTCCTAGCAGTGATCTGCCCCGCCTGGGAAAAAAATCCTTGTCTCACAGCAGCACCCCCCCCCCCCCCCACAAAGCCCTATACGGCCAAACCACCATTCGTCAACCTTGATAAAGACTCCATGATATGCAGGGAAAATAGACAGGATTTTGGAGCAAGCAGTAAGGAAGAGAAATGTTTATCAGTGTTCAGATAGTGAAATGAAATACTGTACCATACAGTTAAACAGATTAGGAAATAAGCAAATCTAAAAGTGAGGAGTAGGAACGTGTTTGGTCTGGACGGAGATAGGCAGACTATGTTTCGTATTTAATGGTCACACAATAGCCTATCACTTTTTAAGATAAAATATTTTGTTAATTTTTATTTGTATAAGCCTAGTGTGGCAACCACATTAAATTTAGTCAGACTGAAAGAGTTAATATGAATCTGTAGCCCCTCACCACAACAACGTGACTACACCATATAAATCTGTCGCTACTCACCGCAACAATGTCACTACACCATAAGACTGTGTTTAAAGACTATGATCCTTGCTGTCAAAAAGTACACACACACACACCACTACCACTGATCTTGACCAAAAGTGAAACTTTTAAAGTGACTGATTCTCAAGGTTAAAGCAGTGGCTACTTTAATTTTTTTTCAAAGCACTGTACAGTATTTAAAAAAATCAATGGAAGACATTATATACTGTATAAGCAATATACTGAACCTATAACTAAATTTTACTTTACGCCAACAGCTGTGTGTACTTTCTGAAGTCAATACAGAAAAATATTTGTAGAATACAAGAGGTAAAAGCTAATAAATTCCTACAAGATTTACAGGGTCTGATGATACAGTATATAACAAGACCAAAACTAATGAAACAAGTGCCTTATCAGCAATCCTCAACTGTGAAGAAAAACATTCAAAAGTGCGGAAAAAGCTTACAATCAGAACTAATTTGCCCCTATTTAATAGCTGTTCTTTCTACTTTCAAAGGATGAGATATTAAGAAAAATGCCAATAATCTCTTAAAAGTTGAATGAAAATATTGCAATGACACACTTTCTCTTAGCTTTCCATCTTATCCAAAATGAAAACAAAAATGAATGTCAAACATTAATTTGCTGAAAAATGAAAAAAAAAAACTAATGAAAGATATTATTCCTCTTTATGAGAACATCTAATAACCATCGGCTAGAAAACTACAATACTGAAACTTCTTTACTAGCGTAAAAAAAAAATGAACCCATTAAAAAAAAAAATGCATGAAAAATCTTACTTGAAGGTGTTTAATGATTATACCTTCATAAATACAGTACAGTATAATTATATATGATCATCACATTACTGTAGTACCATGCACATTTACTACAGGCATCATAATAGAGTTTTGTAATCACTCACAGCAGCATAAGCACTTACTTCTGAAAACTGAAAGTGTTGAAATTCAGGCACTGAAATGCAAAATTCACTTACTCCTATGTAGACAGTAGTGGCATGTCCGTTCTGCATTTTCTCATCGACAATATGCGGGTTACCTCGATGGAACCGTGCAGATATTTTCATAGACATTGTTGTGGTAAAATCTTCCACACTTATGTATTCTGATGTTTAGAGCTTCTTGATACTGAAATCTAAGGATTAAAATTGTGTTCCCATTTCAATTATTTAATAAACAAACATATTTTTGTTATTAGTGAGGAATTTAAATTATCTAATTACAATATACGTCACTGTACAGCATACAGTTTATACTATTTTTCAATGTATTTCAGTGTACATTTCAATTTTGAGTATAGCAATAAAATCTTACGTTCTTCCCTTCAATTTTATGTAAGTTATCTAGAATGGATGAGAGCAAAATTCTTGTTTCAATGTGTAGTATGCACAAGTAATTCAAATATACAATACCCTTGGAACATTTCCTAAATTCATTGCTAATACATGTGCATATGCATTCTGTTGACCAAATGAAAAAGGCCACTACAATAATTTTCTGAATATGTTAACAATTGTAAATTTAAATAGTTTAAGCTTTTTCATCTGTAGCAATAGGCCTACACCACATTAATGTATTCAAGACAAGTGGTCTCTTGCACACTATCACACCGTGATCTCTGATGAACATCCTTTAACCTCACCTTAATTGTTAAGCAAGCTCTTATCTTACTGAGTACTGTATCTCGGAACGTTATCTCATCAAGCCTAAATGTCAACAGGGGTGAAAGGACTGGCTGACAAATATAGTCTATTACAAATGGTTATCATCAATCTTCAATATTTTAAAGGCTTGGTCAGACTTTAGGTTTAAACTTAATTTAAAGTTTATTCAAAAAAGCACAACAATCTTAGACAAAAATATTGATTTTAATTTTTGTAAAAGACAAAAATATTAATTTTGAAAAGCAACAATTCACTAACTGCAATACAAAATAAATTTGTATTTTATATATATATATTATATATATATATATATATATATATATATATATATATATATATATATATATATATATATATATATATATATATATATTTTATATATATATAATATATATATTATATATATATATATATATATATATATATATATATATATATATATATATATATATATATATATATATTATATATATATTTATATATATATAAATATATATATTTATATATATATATATATATATATATATATATATATATATATATTATATATATATATATATATATATATATATTTTATATATATATATAAATATATATATTTTATATATATATACAGTATATATATATATATATATATATATATATATATATATATATATATATATATATATATTTTATATATATATTTATATATATATTTTATATATATATACAGTATATATATATATATATATATATATATATATATATATATATATATATATATATATTTATATATATATACAGTATATATATATATATATATATATATATATATATATATATAATATATATTTTATATATATACAGTATATATATATATATATATACTGTATATATATTATATAGATATATAGATAATGTTGTACATAAACAGTATATTATACACACAAACACATCGGAACCTCGGTTTACGAATTCCCCAGATTACAATTTTTTTGGTACACGAAGTCAGTTTCCTCATAAAATTTGACTGTGTTAGAGATTTGCCTCTGAATATGAATTTGTTGATACATGTATAGGTCCTCGAGTGCATAGGTTCTGCTGGGCATGGGGTGAGGTACGCTCAATTTACCAGTGTATCCCGCCTAGTGATGACCGCACTTGAATTCTTTGTGAAGAATTTAGTTGTTTTTCTGCTTTTTTGGGTTTCTGAACATAAGTTCTTATGTATCACACCACAGAGAAAATTGTGGCCTGAATGTGTTCCAGAACGAGACTTTGAGGGGGTTTGAGTCTGAAGCTGCAGTGCCTCTTGCTGAGGAAATTGTTTCTCTGGGCCTGAAATTGGGCTTGGAGTTGGATGGTGCTGATGTGGAGGAGTTGGTGGAGGAACACAGCAAAGAACTGACCACTGATAAACTTCAAGCCCTTTACAAGAAGCAGCAACAAGAGACAGCTGAGGAAATTTCTTCAGGGGAGGACGAGGCAGTAGAGGATGTCTCTTCCTCATTAATTAAGAAAATGTGTGCAGTATGGGAAGAACTGCAAAGTTTTGTTAAAAAGACTCAACCAGATAAAGCTGTAGCAGGCCATTGCATTAACTTTTTTAATTTGTCACTACAGACAAGTGCTAAAACATAGGGAAAAACAAACACTCTAGGCTCTAGGTAGTTTTCTTCATAGTGCTTCACTGCTGTTCACAAACTTGGAACAAATCATTGATGGAACATGTCTCACCACTCATTGCATTGTTGTCAAGATTTGCGCTATGCTTGAACCAGTCACGCCAACCGTGGGTGGCTCAAAATGTTATTTAATAACCCTCATTATGAGTGAACGATTGCATTCACTCTATTGGCCGAGTGGCTATCAGAAGAATATATTAATTGTATTGTACAGTATGGTACTATATTGAATACATATTATGCATTTGCTTTTGTTAGAAAAAATTTCTGAGAGCAAGAGCCCTATAATGAATCAGCATTGTACAGGTTAACAGAAAAGAAGATACTGTAGTATGGCAGTATCTAGCTATTAGCCTACAGCATTTTTCATGGTAATATATAAGAGAAAATTGCACTGTCTTCTGACTAGTATCTTAAAATGGAATTCAACATAGCAACTTTTAGATATCTTAAATATTATTTGTTCTTGTTTTGGGGCAAATTCACAATATGGGGCCAGAGTATAGTTAATAGCACAGGATTGACAATACAGTACATTATAATCAACCAATATCTAAATAAGTAGGTTCAAAAGCTCTTGTTGATGCCTCGTGCATTTCTAGCTGTTGTCAAGATCTATAATAAAAATAAAAAAATAAAAACTGGCTGACCAAATGAACACAACCACCTAATTTTATCCTAACGTAAAGCAACTCTAGTCCATTCGAGTGCTTCAAACATCTCACACACTAAGTACAGAGAATGCCTCATGAACCTAAGCTCAAATCTAATCACAATTAATGTTACTTTTATCCTACGTTTGCTTTCAAACACCTGATGCATAAACAAGACTGGCTTGCACTAAGTTTAACTGTAAAAATAGTCTCAAATATATACCTAGTATATATACCCTGTAAATAATGTATAATATTTACATAAATGGCACTCAAGCCACATACTGTAATGTGGAGGGAACCACATTTAAATTCTAAGCCAGCAAGATGGCTCCCCCCTAGAGGTGACTGGCTGAGTCACTGTGCAGGGACACAGTGACATCACCCTCAGGGCAGCACGCCTCCATCAGTAGACACCCCCCACACCTCTTAGAAATAACAGCTGACTCCAGCCCCTCTGCTCATCAAGCATGCCATCAAACTCCCTTTGACTCACTCAGCTGTAAGGAATTCCCCATCCACCATATCTACTCCCCATACCTCATCAGAAGTCAGGGACAGACACGAGAGGTCGGCTTCAATGCAAACCCTACTGTTCCATTGATCATTACCACCTTGTGAAGACAGCACCATTACCCCTATACAGCCTCAATGCCTCTACAACTGCCTGGGAATTACATCTGGTATCAATGGGCTTCATGTAATTCTAAGAGGTATTCACTAGCACCTCTATGACAGCTGGGAATGATTCTGTAACCCTCTAGGAAATATTATGATACCAACAAATAATATAGATCAGCCAATAAACTTAAATTGAACAGAAACACCAAAGTTCACGCTTAAGTTCTCCCTCGAGAAGGACTCCAAGTGGCACCATACATCATGATGACAGGGCCTCAACACGCAAATTACTCCAACCACCACATACCAACACTTCTAAATAAGTCACACATCGATAAAACTTACGTTAAAACACATCATTTCAGCCACTCAAATAAGGTCACTATAATTTACAGAAGAAAGTCTTCTATTTAAAAAATGTGAGAACCAACTGTGACGTGTGTACATCCCTTACCTTATCATGCGAAGCAATAATTTACAACCATGCGGACATGACGAACCTTTTAGTGCCTAGACTAGCATTAAGGATCATTATAACGCCATGAACAGCCGTGAGAGAGTAATATTCATGATGGCAGGAGCGGCAGCAGCGCACACATCAGCTGCGGCCTCGTCAATGTACACAAAGAGTGCATCTTTCTCCAATTCCTCACATTCTATAAATGTGACACAAATAATACAAAAATATAATGATATATATGTAACGTTTTTACGTGTATATTGTAAATATTTAATGTAATTTGTTTAATTCACGTGACTTACTTATGGTAATTATAATAGGGGGGGGGAGGTATTATACAGTTACGAACCGAGGTATTCGAAACAAAATAAAAGCATTTATAGAATTGTGTTTTATAATTATTTATCTTCAGTTATAAAGCAAGTATATTATATAAAGAAAATCGTGTTAGTACTGTGACACGAATATAAAGATGTATTCCCTGAGAATGGCATCAGCGGGTCGCTTACAACAAGATATCAAGGAAACTTTCCTACTAATTAAGTTCTCACATTTTTAGAACAAGGTGGTCATTTTTATACCGAATAGCTGTCACATTTGAAGTGTGAAATGAGCTTTATATATCATATGTATGAATATAATATTAATGTGGTAAAATTTAACAGGGCATTTAAACTGCCCGAAACGCTTTGCGTAATAGTGGCTTTAGGCATTGTATGTACTAGCTCTATCTATAAAGCCAACAAACTTTGTAAAATCTCTTTATGTATGTACCTTTGCCTAAATAAAAATTATTATTATTATTATTATTATTATATAACTGATAGTGATACGCCTGTTGTTTTTTTTTAATTCCAAGTACTGTACTGTATGACTAACCATCTCGTGAGATGGGAATATTAAATGAACTTATAGCTAACTCTCCAATATGTGGCTCTGTATCCCTCATCCACTACTGCTCACGGGATGGGTATGGGGGTCAACTGCCGCCAACTGGATGAGTAGAGAGGGTTGCATAAAAATAATTCATTGTGTCATGGGACAGGAAGCCAGAGTGTATTCATACACGTTTGGCTTTTATCGAGGTCTCCCCCCCCCCCCCCAAGGTCGACTTACTGAGAACACCCAGAATGCAACCCCACAGGCTAAGTCCTGAGTACCTACTTACTGCTAGGTGAATAGACGCATTGGGTGAAAGTAAATGTGCCCAACCACTTCTGTTCAGCCAGGGATTAGAACCTGGAATTCTCGATTGCGCGTCGAGAACGAACCCGACTGTACTACCGGGACCCTCATCTGAAGACATAATACATAACCCTAAACTAATTCCTTGATCTATACTTTGTAATCCCTTTGAAAAAGTTGTGTAATCTCAAATTACAATAGTGTATATGTATTTCACTAGGGGGATATCCGGCTGTGCCCAGGTCTCTCTCCACCGTATCCTCTCTGTTATCCTATTTCCCCCTCGAGATCACCCGTCGCCTTCCGTCACACCAAATCTCCACCTTTCTTCTGAAGAAATCAAGGGATTCATCCAGCCACCTTTCATTGATTCTGCGAAAGGGTAGAGGTTGGGGGATGGGGAGGGACGACAGTTACTAGTCGGCCCGACCAGCCTATGTCCATCCCATATTCCTTACCATCCACCCTGCAAAGTAGGGTGAGGCTAGCTCTAAGCCACGGCTTTTGTACGTTATACAGACAAATAAGTTTTCTTGCACCCGAGAAAACATTTATTATCATTTATCAATAATAAAAAACTATTATCATCATTTAGGATGATATTATGAGACCCAAAAAGACCATAAGAAATATCATTGGACTCAGATTCACAAAGGATTTTATATGTATGGAAATACGAGACACACGGGAACAGTGCCTGGTGAAGATTTCATAAATGCTTATCGGATAAAAGGTTTGTACTATCACAGCTGCAATTGGGCAACTACATAGTTGGGTGAGTCAGTGTGGGAATGTGCGAGTGGTCTAAATGTGATAGATACGCTCGCGTCTAGTACTATGACATGACAGCTGGATGGCAAGGCTAGATGTGATAAGATGCTAAGTGACCCCATAATGGCCTTCTCTGTCTGCTGTCACTCACATGAAGTAACTAGCACTCACCTAGTTGTGCTTGCAGGGTTTGAGCTCTGGCTCTTTGGGCCCGGCTCTCAACTTTTTTTCAACCCCCCTCCCCTCCAGGAAGCAGCTGTCTAACTTCCAGGTACTTATTTACTGCTAGGTGAGCAGGGGGATCAGGGTGAAAGTAACTTCCCATTTGTTTCCACCGCCGCCGGGGATCAAACCCGGACCCTTAAGACTACGAATTCGGAGCACTGTCCACTCAGCCGTCAGACCCCAGAAGACCACTGGATGGCCTTCCAAGTCTACTGTCACTCACAATGTAACCAGTATTTACTATTTGTGTCTACAGAATCGATCTATTAGCATTTTGGCCCCACCTTTTTAACCAATCTATTTTTCCTCTATTATGTCTACAACATATATCTCACTCTAACACATGCAATCACATCCCCAGGAAGCAGCCCATTGCAGTTGTCTAACTCCCAGATACCTATTTACTTCTAGGTGAACAGGAGCATCTGGATGAAAAACTGCCCATTTGTTTCTGCCTTGACCAGGAATCGAACTTGGGGCCTTAGGACTACGACTCCCGAGCACTATCCACTCAGCCACGAGGCCCCCAGTGAATGGCCTTCCGTCTGCTGTGTAGTTCCATTTGTTGTTGAACTTCAAATTATTTGAAAGTTAATTATTTATTACTGATAAGTAATAGCACGATTCCTCCTATACCATCTACCACTTCTGATAAGCAATAATGTGGTGTACGCCCAAGGCTCATTTTCAAGTGACCTGGAATCATTACAGTAGACAGGAACTAATTATTTGCCATTAGTGGGACACAAAAGATGAGATACAAAGTGAAAATAAGGTGTGTTAGAACTGTTTATAAGTGAAAAGATTGAATTGCAACTGCAGCTTCCTCAATTTTGGCCAAAAGTTTAGTCACCCATGTTACTAACTATATGGACTTCAATTATCTTAAATATATTAAATAAATTAAAGACTGAATTTCAGATAAAATTTACTAACACCTTAAGTGCCTTACTACTGCACACTTAATTGTATAAACCTTTTTATACACAAAAATAGGATATAAAAATATATTTCCGCCCCAATGGGCCCAATATCCAAGCGTGGCATCGGTTCAACGTTGAATCAATGTGACTAATGTTGATTTAACATTGAATTGGCTTTGCTCTTGGATATTGTGGCCAGTGGGGCATGGTAGATTAAGCTACCATATTTGCCATGTTTTTGGTCCACCAACAACCAATTGTATATTGTATTTACATGCACAAAACCATACATTTTCACCTACAAAACTACTTGAAAATCACTTTCAATTAATGTATGATGAAACATACTAAAACATTTCTTAACAAAATACAATAAATTATGAGCCAGAAAATACAGTACTGTACACAGTAATTGTAAGTACTATACACAAGCATTGATTAATTAAATTTTGAATTTCATCAAATACTGAACAGTTCTAATGAACAATTCCTATCTATATAAAGATTAAAAAGATACACAAACACATGTACTGTACCTACATCTGTCAAACCATCACCTTTTAGGGGGGCAAGCAGAGATGGGGTGTTTCCAGCATCTAAAAGAATTTTTTTCATTATGGTATTAACAATTCTAATTACTGTTCGTGTGAAATAGAGGCAAGAGTTCACACTAGGAAAATTATAAATCATTTGATAATACAGTACAGTACTATAGCATGTGGCAAAAGCCGCAAGTGTTCCCCATTAAAATATCAACTTTGTTATAACAAGATACTTTCCCGGAGGACACCTCCTGTGATATGTAAGGGTCCATTATAATGTCTTCTCTATGTGTGTACATTGTAAATTTACTGGTTGTTGTCACCCTTCAATGTATGTCTCTTAGTTTATTCTGAGTATTTACATAGTACAGGAGTACAACAATTGATATATCTGTGAGCAGGAGTGACTTTTCTCTTGGTGTTACTGGAAAAAAAAAAAAAAGCACAAACATATTAAGCTCTGAAAGATCTCAAGAAAAATACTGTAAAAGCTTGACAATTCAAATGCGATAACTCGAATCTTTAAATAATTCAAATACAGTACTTCATCAGAGCAAATGGATGGACCTTAGACAAGCCGCCGGCTTCCAGTCCTCGTTGAGGCTACTGGTATTAGTGGCCCTCGGGTAAATTCAGGTAAATACTGCAAATTTGATTTCAAGTTTTTGACTACTCAACGTGAATAAAAACTTTAGTTATCGAGATTTCTAAGAACAACCGAGCAAACAAAAACCGGAACACATTAAAATTTTTAATTTTTTGACTTTCCAAGTAAAAATTTGCCAAACTCGAATGTCTGGCTAATTCAAATAGGGGTGGGCCCGATATAATTTGGATTATCATGCACGAACAGTACTGTGGCTGCTAGCACTTAGCTGCAAGTACAATATGTGCATACTGGATGGTAAAGGGGCTTGTATATAATGCAACATTTGGACAATAATCCTACTACAAGATATTCACATATTCATAACACACACAGGCCTAAGTTTATTTTATATTCTCTGGATAGATGAAGAGTAAGGGGATGAAAGAGGATATAAAAAGGTTTCAAATATATCAACACAAAATATAACATGGAAACAATGGATATAAACTGCATGAGTTTAGATTCAGGAAAGACCTGGGTAAATGTTAATTCAGAAACGGTTGTAGATTTATGAAAATAATTACCGGGTAACATAATAGACACGGGAATCACTGGATTGTTTTAGCGTAGGTTAGACATATACAGGTATATTAACGAGTTTGGGTGGATATAAATAGGATCTCTCTCTCATATGAGCCAACAAGACATCTACAGTTTCAAGTATTGGTTAGACATACTATACATGAATTAGTTTGGGTAAACATAAATAGGAGCTGCCACATGAGTCAATAGGCTTTCTGCAGTTTCAAGCATAGGTTAGACATATATATGAAAGAGTTTGAATGGATATCAATTGGAGCTGCCTTGTAGGGACCAATAGTCCTAATAAATTAATGACATTAAAGATAATATGCAATTATCAGCATTAATCTAATGTCTTTTGCTCCCCCATGATGCCCTCATACTAGAAATAGAATTTGTACTTTGATAGAATAGTTTAGAAACAATCAAATAAACACAATTTTTTTAATAAATTAAATTATTACACACTTCATAAAAATAATTTTCCTTAATATACTGTATATCTATGATCTAAAAGCAACTTCAAAGAGCTTCAAAATAACTATCTAATTACTGTACTTGAATTAGCAACATCAGTTTGGAAACCATCAAATATATTTATCATTTGAAAAAACAAATAATTAACTCATTAGAATAAGTCAATTTTTTGTCTTAGAATATAGTATTAATTTAAAACCAGCTTCAAGAGGCTTTCAAATAACTATGCTATTATTTAAATTAATGATAGGATTTTAAAACTACTGCAATTACTTTTCAGTGCAGCTGATTGTGAAAAGTATCCCCAGTCCCTAGACTGGCATATTTTATGGTCTTGAGGTTCTCTTGAGATGATTTCGGGGCTTAGTGTCCCCACGGCCCGGTCCTCGACCAGGCCTCCACCCCCAGGAAGCAGCCCATAGCAGCTGTCTAACTCCCAGGTACTTATTTACTGCTAGGTAACAGCAGTTACCTGGCTGATACAAACAATATTATCAAATATTCTTTAAAAATGCTAATACTGCATTAGAACCACACTGTCTGCAATTGATGGTGGCCTTGTCCAGCTCCCGTGCTGTCATAATGGAACAAAACTGAGTAAGACCATATGCTAGCACATCTGACACCCCACGAATGTGGAAACCTTTTAGCTCTAAATCCTGCTAGCCAGAAGAGAAGCCATACCCAAATCCCGAAAAGGCATAGAAGCTATGGCAGGCATACAATGCCACAACAGATAAGAGTCTACCCATTTTGTTCACATATTCATAATATGTTGGACAAGATGGTGACTGGTGTAACTCATCGTCTTCGGATCACCATTCCCTGGTTATCATGATCTAGTCCAACAGAAGCACAGGTGTAGAATATTCTACCTCAGAGACTTGCCATTTTCCCCCCCTTGCCTAATAACGAAAAGAAGGTTATGACCATACATAAGAGTTGTACTTTTTGAAGTCTGTACTATGAGACATTCTTAACATATCCCTAGAAAACTTTGTAGGAAAAACAAAACAATAAGATATCTCTACTGGGAATACCTATTAATAATTAGGTATATATAAAATAAATAAATTATGAAATCTAGAAAGACAACATAAATGACTAGAAGTAGTGATTAACTTTAACTACTAAGCTATTGAAAGGTCCTATACTGTGGTACATAAAGAGGAAAAAAAAAGTATTTAAAAATACTACATCATGGTGTGCAAGAAAAAAGTATTTAAAAGTTCTATATTGTAGTGCACAAGGTAAAAAAAATAAATAATTGCATTGAAGACCTGTAAGGCTCAATTGCACATGGTGATCTCTTAGATTAATAACCAATTTACCCTTTCTATAGCCACTTGTAGGAAGGGTCACATTCAAAAGAACTTCACTTGAAGGTCTTCATTACAAGACCCATTACACTGTGTAGCTATAAAGACTCAAGTTCTGATAGACAATGTAACTGATCCACTTCAAGCTCGCTCAGTTTCTGGCCCACGGCTCCTATACATGTTGTCAGCTCTGCCATCTTCAAAAAATAAACATTAATTTTAAATAATGCACACTGTTAATGCTAATAATACTACAACTAATAATATAATATTGTATTTATATCAAATACTACAACATTTACATTTCATTTCAGGCTCAGGCAAGGCCAAATACAGGTTGGCTGTGTTGTAAATATACATAAAAAGTTTCTTCCTTATTAAGGTAAGGTAATTATCAGGCGAGAGCACTAAGCCAATGTAATTATACAGCACTTGAAAGTAATATGAGTACAAGGTAATGGGATATGAGGGTGGGGAAAGGAATGGTGCCCATCCACTTGGACCATCGGGAATCCAACATCAACCCAAAAACACACAAGGCCATCATTCTACTGACTAGTACGAGTGGTTAGATGCGCCTGTTATTAAGGAGAGAGTTAAGTTACAGATTAGGTGTGCAAAGGTTTATAATTAAACTTATTACACCCCTACCTCTGGTAATGTTGATTGAAATTCACTTAGTCCCCGTATAAATGCTGCAAACTCGTAGTGCTTCCTAGTTATGTCTCGTAATTGGCTTTGGAGATGCCTGTAAACATTTGCAGGAACGTTATCTTGGAGAGCTGCACGTTGGGCCTCCAGCTGCTCAACCTGGACTACGCCAATTTCCAGCTTAAACCTCAACTTCTTAATCAAGCTTCCATAATTACGAACTTTCTGTGAATGCATAAGTATTCATAATTTAGCCACAAGAAAATGCAGTTCATTAAATGCAATGTTTGCATTTAATGAACTAATAATAGTTATCATACTTTAGTTTGCAACCTACTCAATTTAATATACATTATATAATAAAAAAATAGCTTGAAAAGATAAATAAAAAAATTAAATGTTATGTAATGAAATACACACGTCATGGGTTGCAATGTGTAATGTCATAGAATGCATCTGATAGCTGGCACACACATGCCAATAGTATTACCAAGCCAAACTCCTGGTGACATTCTCGACACAGAGGAGAAGTAACTTTTCCAACTGTTTTGTCCCCCCTCTATATAGCAGGGGGTAAGAGACCAACTCACTATCGATATAAACCATCCAATAACAAAGAAAACAAAATTCTCAACCTTCCACTGGATACTGTTAGGAAACATCCAACCAATCACCGCAACTCTCTGACCTACATAATCTCCACTAATATGCCTACCCTGACTGCCCAAAGGTGGCAGCTCTGAGCCACCCAACAATCTGAAGAAGGAAGCCCTCTCGCACTCAAGCACTTGGCATGAGTAACCGAAACACAAAGGCAGAAATTGGGAGCTACCAAGGAGCACCACAGAAGGGAAAACTGAAGAAATTAGCTCAAAACGTTAAGTGGACAAAGACTGGCAGCCTTACTCTACCTGTTTCAGTTGATTAGACTCCTCTAAGTGCTTTCTGTTCTTTTCAGCAAGTAGAGTCTCTAAAGTTGAGATCCTGGCACGCCGCTGCTCAAGTTCCTCTTGATGAGAAGAACGCAGATCTGCCAGAAGCCGATCTCCAACTTCTCTTTCTTTTTTAGCATCCTCCTTCACTGCACTGTACTGACTTCTTGCTTCACTAACCCTGTTAAGCAGTTTTAGGTCAATACACTGTTTAGTGTCAGTCCACTTAGAACTTACTGTTTTAAGGATGACAAGGGAAAATTGGCAACAAACACAATGTCTAAAAGAAATGAAGAAGCCACGTGAGCAGCAGAATGGTAAGTGAGAGTGACCATTTAAATGACATGTACACTTACTACAACTAGATTAGCAAAGCAAGTTCATAGAATTGATTGAGGAATTTATTAAAGGAAAAATACAAATAGGAAAAAAATAAAGAGAGACATGGAAAATCACAGAGATGGAATAAATGTGCAGAAAGCCTTAGAAGGTTAGGTTTGGATGAGAACAAAGTTAGATCATAAGTAGAGGTTGCTCATTCAGTGGCACCAAGGGCAGGATATTATATAACAGAACTCGGCCAATCATTTTTTTTATTGTGTGTGTAGAATGCAAAATTAAATCAGAGTCTTGGAGTGAGTATTCAACCACTTGCTCATCATCTTTTATAACCTGTATGATTCACCTTTACCTCATTCCGTGCCTCAAACTGCGTACAATCGTGATTTGTACTAAGGCACGGTTGTTTCTGTTACTTCACGGAATGGTGAAACAAACTAATATCAAGATACTGAGGATCAGCCCATTATACAGTGCTTCCTACAAACTTTGCTACTTACATTGTTTAAGCTAAAACACACAATATATCTTACTGGTTGTTAAGCTGTTGAATATTAAGATGAAGATCCTTGTTGAGAACCTTGAGTTGCTGAACTTCAGCCTGGTGCTGAAGAAGTTCCTGACGGAGAGAGGAGGAGTCTTCTCTCTCTCGCCGCAGTAACCCTTCCATACCCTCCAGTGAAGCCACCCTGGCCTCAAGTACCGCCTTCTCTTTCTCTACACCATGCAGCTTTTCAGTCATTTGATCAACTTCGGCTCTAAACTTGGATTCTCTGGTATCTCTCTTTTCTTCTGCACTCTTCGCTGTAGCCTCAAGCACCTAACCATATAGCTGATGATGAATCCATATACATACAAAGTATATGCGAGCTTCCTTATATATATACATACAAATATACATGCATATGTACAGTAATGTGGCGCTGGTATGCAAGGATAATTATTATATTTCTTTCAAGTACTTCAAAGAATACAAACATAAAAATATTAAATCGATTAAAGCACTCTTAGTTCTACAGGGACATGTGTTCCTTGAGATTCTGTGCAAAACTGAACTGAGCAGCACTTGGTTGAAGATCACATGGAAAAGCAAGAAGTGTTCCACGATGAAGAATGGTATTACATAATTTTGTAAACTATGTATGGTACTCTAATTTTAATTTGTATTAACAATATACAACATACAATTAATGCAATTTTTTTAGTGTCATATAGTACCAAAATTTGCAAAAATAATACTGTATAGTGCATTATACAATTTATCATGGCACAGAAGTTAGATTTTGAGCATAAGGCAGAGCTCCTGTCTGAGCAAGCCAGTCGATTGCTTCTTTAAGCAATCTCTTAATCTTCCAAAGAACAAGGTTAAACACATTCAGGCTGCTCAACACTTGATCCCAGTACAGTAGATTGCTTCCATCTTGCCCTCTCGCCTAATATGTCAAATTTTGAACAGAATTAAGCAATGCGGTAAAAATGTGACGTAATAGTAAGAATTAAATTACCTGTACCACAATATTGACATTTTCTATGCATCGACCTCGATTAGTTAAGAGGGCTGCATGGGTTTGTACATATCTGGTCTCACAAAACAGTTGAATTTATGTAGAAGCAAATTGGTGAAAAAAGAGGTTAAAATCTATATACTGGGGAAAAGAAGACTAGAGAATACTCTATCCAGCTTGACACGGACTTCAAATTTGAATTCATCTATATACTCAAACCCTTTCCAAGACAGACAGTTGAGTAGTACGCTGGCTAACTGCAAGTCAGTTCACCTGACAGCTACTTATAAGCATCATTAGATGTCAGCATCTACTTGTCAACAGTGTAGAAAGAAGCTGCCCAACCAAGCTTGCCTCACTAGAAACCCAAGCAGCAAACAGGAAGTTAATCAAAGAGGAGTGGAAGCACCCGAGTAGGCTTCTCGGACAGAAGCTTTTATCAACACTAGAGCAATACTTTTCATAGTGTAAGATTCTCAGGTTTGGAACACATTCTAAATTTTCCCAAGAGGTCCCTAACATAATTCTATATGTTTAATTTGACACATTGTCTAGAGGAAAATATACCAAAATACAGTAAAGTCAAAACTCTAATGTATATACTCACAATAATCATACAGCAAATTACACAATCAAGTTTGACACAGGATCTTGAGGTAAGAATCTTTGTATAAAATTAGGAGTCTACTATATGACAATAATGACAAAAAGGTATCAAGCACCTGCAAAAATTCAGTGCTGAATGTAATGAAATGCTTCTTTATGGTGGATACCATCAGTGGCTCCTGGAAACAGGGTGCCACCAAGGGGAGCCATGGCAGGAAATGGTTTCTCCTCATAAACTATATACCTTTAATTGGTCCTGCAGCTGAGAGTTCTGTTGTGCAAGTTGGTGCGAACTGGAGAGATGTGATTGCCTCTCTTCAGTCATACGTTTTTCCAGTTCCAACTCTTTGGCTGCAAATCGCTCTTTGACCCTGGAAAGTACTGACTTCTCTTCTTCCACAGTATTCATTAGTTCTGAATGATATAAAAAAATAACCATTACTTTCATAAGTAAATTAGTCTGCATATTTGAAATATGGCTACATCTGGAAAACAATTATTGAAATGACTAGTTTGTTCCACTTGCCTATAACTCTTGCTGAACCAATGCTTACCTATATAGTTTTTAAAACAAACTTTATGAAGACTTCCTTAAAATACAATATTTACCATTGATACGTTTAGAAGCTGCTGTTGCCTCTTGATCTTTAATGTGACGAAGCTGAGAGACTTCATTCTGAGCAGCCGTTAGCTGTACTCGGCATTGTTGCTCTACTTCAGATAAGCGACTCTAAAATAGCAATGCAAAAGTAAAATTGTATAATTATAATATTCATATCAAATTACAGTTTATCAAGAATTATATAAATGAATAATGTACAAAGCATATATTGTCAGCATAGTTCTTATACCTTAATAAGCTGTTGCTGATGCCTTTCAGAATTAAGGGTTGTAGTCAACTCTTGAACTGTAGTTCTCTCTTTGTCCAACTCCCCACGCAAGTTATCCACAGTTTCCCGTAGTTGGTTTTTTTCTCCCTTAGGAATAACAAAAACAAAACTTCCTAAAATTATCAAAGTTTGGATATAAATACAGTACAGTACTGTAAACGTCTTATGATGTTTCAATAGGCAATAGTAAGGCTGAGTTATTTCAGCAATGCATTAACCTCTAAACAGGCTCCAATCACTGTCTGTGATTACCTCCTGGGGCCTCAAATCCCCAAATGCTATTTTTGTTAATTAGTTTTGTAAACCATTTTTTTCACGTGCACCTCAATGCAGGAGTTTTAATTAACCGAGCCATATATGGGTTAATAGACTCGATAACAAAATGTAATTATATTAGTATTGCTATGACTTTCAGAATAAGTCTAACATGCTTCCTATCACCAACAATGAAAAGCCAAACTATGTAGAGTAATTCATATTACTAAGCAAACAGAAATACGGTACCTTAAGTGCCTGGAGTGTCGTTTGTTGTGACAGTGTATGTTGCTGCAACTCTTCTTCAGCTTTGGTCTTCTCCTTCACCATTTTGTCAAGTGCTCTAACACCAGCTTCTACCTCCTCCTCCATTACCTGTTAATTGCCATAATGATACACTTTAGCACCTCAAGGTGATGTCTACAACTTTAAAGGATAAAGTTATTCATTCAAATTTCTGTATAAATAAAAAATTAAATGAAATGAGATTTTCTGAAGGGTCTTTAGTAGCTTCCCGAGATAATTAAGTGCCCAGCCAAGCCTCGTGAAGATGCACCAGGTCTCTGAGAGCCAACTTTGCCTACCAGGAGCCAGGACTAAGATTCATCAAGCATCTAGGCAAACACTTACAAATATTTTATCTCTCTCCTTAATCATGGCAACTTCAATAGCTTCAATACTGTACTTCATAACCCATTTGTTTTTATTATTATAGACATTATAATGCTTCAGAGCTTATAAATTGTATAATAAGCTGCCACGATTGAGGAAAGGTGCACAGGTTTCATGAGTGGTTGCATAAATGCTTGATGAATCCTGGCCTAGAACTAGAATTTGACTATGAGGTGAGATGAGCTGGAATTAGAGATCAAACCAAAATTCATCCTGTAAAAGAAAGTCAGGGAACTTGTTCACAGATTTCATAGTACTATGGCACTAATATTACCTTGATTTTTTGCTGTAACTGAAGGTTGGACTGTTGCAACTTTCTGTGCTTCTCACTTTGTGCATCTTGTACTTCAGACAGTTGACGTTCAGCTGCCATTCTTTGTCTTTCAGCTTCTCTCAGCTATTAAATAAACACAATGTGATTTCATTATCTTTGGAGATCTGCCTACTCAAAATACTCCTACAGTCTTCCCGGCTTAATGCCTTCTTTTGATAATTACGTACTTACTCAAAATACTTCTGCTCAAGTTTTTTTAAATTTATGAATACAAAGTTTTAATAAGCTAAGCCTAGGGAAGAGTACATATGCATGTTACCATGTTTCAGGACCAAAGAGCCACAGCTCAAGCCCCGCAAGCACAATTAGGTGAGTACAGTTATCTCAAAATCTAATGATACCAGTTGCTCCATCACTCTACAGAAAAATTATGCCGTTGAAGAATAGTTTGTTCTGCATTCTTAGCATTTTGATAATTGAGTTGTCATTAAAGTTCTTTTGTATTATTTTTCCATAAGCAGAGTTATAGTAGATAAGGCAATTTTTTATTTACACTTTGCATCAGAAATTAAGTATTTTGAATTTTTAATACACTAACAATACACAGCAGCATATACTATATGTTGTTAATTTATCAGAAATGACAAAATCATCATCCTTAAGGGAGCAATAACATGTGGAATCCTAATCAAATATTTATACTACAGTACTGTATATTTAAAGCATTATAAATGACTTTTGAAGGATCAAAGGAAAAAATCATCAATGGAGAAAAGGTTTACCCATTTTAGTACAATAGTACAGTGCTGTACCTGAGTTTCGTATTTCAGTTTGAGTTCTTCCATTTCCCGAGTATGCCTCTCTAGCGTAGCTGATAACTCTGTCTTAACGAGAGCATTCTCATATCGGTAAGTTGCTAGAGATCGTTGGAGTAAATGATCAGCCTCCATAGTGCCCCTGCTTCCTGAAGGCATAGTGTCAGCCATGGCATGGTCCTCGCTGGAGTCCGTGCTACTCATCTGTAACAGATATATTCCCTTAACACAGTAAAGTTTGGCTAATTTAATAATCCCCACTGTCAGTTATAGGACGTCTGTACTGTTCTTAACTCAGACGTATTGAGATTCCCTTAGGTCATCTACTGACCCTCCCCAGGATGCAGCCCACAATAGTTACTTAACTTGCGGGTATCTATTTTACTGATAGGTGATTAGAGGCATCAGGTAAAAGGAAAGTTGCTCAAGCATATATGTCCATCAAGGAGATTGAACTTTTATGCCATGGTTACGAGTCAAAGGATGTAGACCACTGTGCTGCAGAAATCAGTTTGTATTAATTAATAATATGAGTGACATTAACTCTAATGAGTGCCAATTATTTTAAAGGAAGAAAATTGGCAATTAAATTAAAATAAAATGCTTTCCTCCAAAACAGTAAATATAATTATCTATGATACCTTGTGTTCTGATGCTACACCAAAGTGTTTTGTCTTTAACTATAGCAGATTTTCAACTATCAAAAACAAATGTGACCAACTTTCAAGTTTTCTGTAAATATGTAACAAATACTTTTATATTACTGTAACTCAAATGACAATATGGACTGGCACAGCCAGAATTATATAGAACAGCATTTTCATGCTAAAGTTGCATGACAAAATTATTTTAATATATTTTAAAATAGCCAGTATTGTGTGAATATTTATATTTTTATCTCCGTTAAAACCTTGTAATTAGGTTGAAGCCTGTCTGACTCCAAATTATTTTGCTGTCTCGGCTGGTCATGACTGCTGGCAAACACCACTGGGGTATTAGAACCATACGAGCAACATTGGTATTCAAATTTTGAAACAAAATGTTGATCTTTCTTTGATGAAGATAACACTTTGTAAAAGACAATCAACACATAACACTTTGAGGGTTAAACAAGTTTAATCTAACCCAAATTAACCTAACTCATTCTAACCCATCATAGCTTAGCTTTACTTAACAAAAATATTAAACAATGTCTTTTTCATACATAATCTGTGCAAGGTGTGTGAAATTATAAGAGCTGCTTCTGGCGATCACTTTGAATAATATTATTAAAGACTGGCCACCAATAGATTCTAAAACCTAACCTAAGCCAATCGAACCAAACCCACCCTAACCTAACAACACACACGATTTGAACACTAGAAAACGTGATGTCGAAATGCTTGTTTAGGATTTGACTGTACCCCAGTTGGGTTATGTAGATACAAGTCACATTATACACAAGCCACTGGCTTCCGGTCCCCTTCAAGGCCACTAATGAGATGTTGGTGCTCAGGTATATTCAGATTTTAAAACCTACCTAACCTTACTCAATGTAACCTAACCAAATGTGATCAAACCCAAACCCAGATAAATGTTAACGATACTGTACGATCTAAAGCAAACAAAAAAATAGCTTTGTCGAAACGTTTTGTGCAGTATTTAACCATAGTCTATTTAGGTTAAGTTAGGTTGGCTTCAAAAAGCGTTGGGTACAAAATAACCTGTATCACTGGCTTACAGACCCATGGGGTATAGTGTACTATTTGCACGGCGTAGAATTAACTTACATTCTAGTAGTTTACTAGTAGTAGTGACTAGTTTAACAAAGTTACAAAGTTACCACGTTCCATGTGGTTAAGTTTGGGTACATTAGCTAGATAAATGAGGCTGAAGCCACACAGAGGGAGACCAATACATGTGTCAGTTGAGACACAAACACACATTTCTTCACCATTTTGGACAGACAATTCGTAAAGTTCATATAACAATTATTGGTCACTCTTAAACCCACATTATAATGCTATTAACAGCTAAAATCTTCTACTTAACAGGCATACAGTTATTAAGTTGAGCGGTGTTGAGAGCGTCATAGGACCAGCAGCCCGCTAGCACAACACAAACGTCACCCAGCGACCAACACTGGACGCTGGCAGGTTTTTGGGTGCAAAAACTTATATTATAAAACTTATATTATTATAAAATAAGTGGGTAGAATTACATTATTTACCTGAGGGGACAGCCCCGCTCTTGTGCCAGGTAAGTCCACTACGGGATCACCATAGCCCGTGCTACTTGGAACTTGTTCCGAGTAGCTGAATTTATTTATTTATCTATTTATTTATATATATACAAGAAGGTACATTGGGATTGTGAGGATACATAGCAATTATATTCTTGTAAAGCCACTAGTACGCGCAGCGTTTCGGGCAGAATATATATATGAATCTATAACAACATACCTCAGGGCCACTACTACTAATGGCCTCGGCGAGGACAGGAAGCCGGGGGTTTGTCAAAGATCCCCGCATTTGTCCTGATGATCTTTCCAGTTGTATTTTAAAACCCAACAGGGTATTGGCAGTCTCCGTGGTGCAGTGGTAAGACGCTCTCCTGGCGTTCCGCGAGCGCTTTGTCCTGGGTTCGTATCCTGGCCGGGGAGGATTACTGGGTGCAAAAATACAAGATTGTAACAACTCTTGTATATATAAATACCTGTAAAAACATAAAAAATTAATACAGCTTCGGCGGGTAGGCCATCACCCATGGGTTAATAACCCTATGAGTGATTATATGCTAGTTAGACTTGTATTTAACAATATATATAATCAGGATGAACGCCTTATATGTACTATTAATGAACAAAAGGACATATATATATATATATATATATATATATTATATATATATATATCACAAACAATCAGCATATTACTGAACATTCTGAGTGATAAACATATGCATCCTTTATATCCTTTACATATGCAGTATGTTACCAGACGTACACACAAATACTTGTATGACTAGGTAAACATACAATTTGCAATACACATTCAGACAATTCAACAAAGTTACAATCTTGGTGCAAAATTCTTATGTCTCGCCAGATTAACACCAATCTTTCCGTTGTGACACATCCAGGCTAGTTGTTCAGGAACAGTCCTTATCTCAGTGTTTCAATTTACATTAATCAATCAAGAACATAATGGGTGAGGGTGTGAGACCTTAACATACCACATAGTTTACACTTCGTTTAATTATCATTAATAATTTGTGTGAACCTCTCCTTGCATACATCCTCTTGCATCTGGTATGGCTCTGATGATCATGTCGGGGCAACTGGCTATCGTCTGATCAATGATTATAGCCAGTTGTTATCCGTCTCTCCGGATTACTTATTGGACGGCGATATTGGATTGGACGATACTTACAGCGACGGCCTCGTTTCTTGCACGTCCGCGTTCGATGACCCGATGGTCCAAGTGATTGGGTGATTGGGAGCCCCTCCTTTCTTTCGTTCTTTCCCAGATACTTGTCCTCATATCCCATGTCCTTGTCCTCATATCTCTTCCATGTGTCGTACAGTCATACTGACATCTCACACTCCTCATAATTACTTTACCTTGAGGCTACTGCTGGATATGGGGATCTATTCCTATATGCCTCATATAAGAAGAAACTCGTGAATGACTGAAAATCTATGTCAGGTGGATATTTTCGCATGAGGCAGTTTGATGAACAAGGTCTCTTCTGTCATGTTTGTAGCTATGGCGACGATGTCAAGAAAACTGCAAGATTGGTATATTAGGCTGCATGTAACTGGCTCACCACAGACGTAGAATGCTCAGCTTAGAGACTGTTGTGGTCTAGTTCTTGAGCCACTTGTGCTATAAATGATCGCAGATATATATTCATTAAACTGTGCAACAAATTTTTCAAGACTGTAACTTGCATAACTAAATAAATTTTGGGGTTCACTTCCAGAGCCCATTATGTGCCTCTGTTACCTTTTCCTCTACCGCCCATAGGATGGGTATGGGGTCTACTACCACCCACAGGATGGTTATGGGATCCACTACCATCCACAGGATGGGTATGGGGTCCACTACTGCCTACAGGATGGGTATGGGGTCCACTACCACCCACAGGATGGGTATGGGGTCCACTACCACCCACAAGATGGGTATGGGGTCTACAACCACCCACAGGATGGGTATGGGGTCCACTACCACCCACAGGATGGGTATGGGGTCTACAACCACCCACAGGATGGGTATGGGGTCCACTACCACCCACAGGACGGGTATGGGGTCCACCACCGCCTACAGGATGGGTATGGGGTCCACTACCACCCACAGGATGGGTATGGGGTCCACTACCACCCACAGGATGGGTATGGGGTCTACAACCACCCACAGGATGGGTATGGGGTCCACTACCACCCACAGGATGGGTATGGGGTCTACAACCACCCACAGGATGGGTATGGGGTCCACTACCACCCACAGGATGGGTATGGGGTCTACAACCACCCACAGGATGGGTATGGGGGTCCACTACCACCCCCAGAATGGGTATGGAGTCCATTACCACCACAGGACGGTTTTGGGGTCCTTATCGCCTATGGGATGGATATTTGAGCAAGTATTACCCACAGGATGGATACTGGCTGCATAATATATAAATTAACATAATAAAATAATACGGCTACCCGGGCATCAAGGGAGGGCTTTATTACGCGGAGTTTCCCAAGGTCCAACCACTTGGGCTGGACAGTAGAGCGACGGTCTTGCTTCCTGCAGGTCGGCGTTCAATCCCAGACCGTCCAAGTAGCTGGGCACCATTCTTCCCCCCCCATCCCATCACAAATCCTTATCCTGACCCCTTAAAAGTGCTATATAGTCGTAATGGCTTGGCGCTTTCCCTGATAATTCCCTCTCTCTCCGTCCCAAGGTCGGACATAGGCTGAGACACAGGCTGTCTTTGTCTTGGCGACCCTGCCTTGCAACACAGCAACTTCTAAGCTGTATATGTTGGCTTGCACGGTAAACACTGCGTGGTAGTTGCTTTGCAACAATGTACCACGTAATCACCAACACATGTACTTTCGCAATTCGTAGTACTTTCTTGTACATAAATAAATGACATTCGCACTTAATTCTCGAATATGCTAAGTATCAAGTCACTGCACACACACAGACACTAAAGTGTACAATATATCTTTATATCTCTGAACTGCAATACTAACCCTGACCTTAAGCGCTTCCTAGAGGGCTGTAACAGAACCCATGGGCACCACACGAGGAACAAATATCTATTTGATATTCCAAGAATCGACTTAACCAAAGCAAAAATTCTTTGCAAATTAAAGGTCCTAAACTGTGGAATGACTTCCCCAATGAGATTAAAAATTCAAATTCAAAAATTCAAATGTTTATTCAGGTAAAGTACATACATACAAGAGGTGATACAAAAATTGATAGATTTATAAATAGAGCTAGTACATACAATGCCTAAAGCCACTATTACGCAAGTTCAAGTTCAAGTATGTTTATTGAGATAAGCAATAAATACATCTCAAAGGGATAGAGTAGCTTAGGCTATTTCTACCCCCCCTATTTCTATTTCTATTACGCAAAGCGTTTCAGGCAGGAAAACATTAAGGACTAAAACTTAATACTTATAAAAAGCTGTAGTTTTCTCCAACAGTTTAAAGGAGAAACTAAGAAATGCCTTACAAACTCTATGTAAGAATTATACTCACATTAACATGTCACACTGTGTTGTGTTCTTACTGCCAGCATTGAACACTGTGTACCGTAACTGAAACTATAAATTCCATATTTAAAAACCTTTTGCGTTGAGTACCTGAACCCATTATGTGGCTATAATCTTTCTGCCAACCTCCACAGCGTCAGTATGGTGTCCATAATAAACAAATTTGAACACATAAATAGTGAAGTAAGATGAGTTCTCAGAACAGCCCGTCTCCTTGAGTTGTCACAGCGGATAAAGTACGGTGGACTGAAATCCCACAAACCCAAGCCACCCACCTACGCACAGAGAGCGTATTTGTTTGTGAGCTACTTTTCACAGTACCTTGTATTATGTTCCTTGAGGAATCATGGGATCATAATATGATATATTGCAGGTTGTGCAGCCCGGGTTGGGTTGTGGGGAAAGCCGGCTGGGGTTACTGTGGGAGGGGACGCTGCACCCACCAGTATATAAGGGCCCGGAGCGCTGTCTACCCACTGCGTATAAACTCAAGATGGTGCGATTATTGTTGTTACTTACTGCTGCTCTCACGGTGAGTTTTTGGCTTACTATTTCTTTATGTAACATGTGGTAACTCGGCATTTTGTGGCTACTTTTTTAGGGTTGCAGATCTGTTCCCCTAGCAGTGTACAGATATCCAGGCAACTGTTGTGGGTTGCACCCTGGGGGAAGACCACTAGTTTACCTGAGAGCCACTAACACTAGTGGTCTCGACGAGGACAGGAAGCCGGCGGCTTATCGAAGGTCTCCCTATTTGCTTTGATGATCTTCTCCAGCTGTTAGCCTAGGTCCTTAGTCTTGGGGAGGGGGGAGGGTCACGATAAACCCATAGACTGCCTGTTCTTTATATTCCTTCCAGAGAATGGTTTTCAGAGGTGTAAATCTACGCACGATGACATCACAACAACGTGATCTGAAGTGTCTGTTTATTCTCATAATTTCCATAAAGAAAATATAATGGTAATAGGGTGGGACTGAACTCGCGTCTCTGAACACCACATAAATTTTTGAGTTGTTATCATTACAATGACATCACGTGACACTGAGGTAATTATCGCAGCTGGCACAGTGCCGCCGCCCATCCCTGGTCCCTCAAGAAGACATGATTGTGAGGACAGATACACAGCTCCGCATTACCTACCCACGCGGGGAACACCCTGACATCACCTGCACAGCTTCGCCTCACCAAGTAAGTTACTCACATCAAGTAATGCTGATTTCTACATATAGAGTATGCTGACTTGTATTCATCTCATGCTGACTATTGTATTCAGATCATGCTATGATTATGTGCGCCCGAGGGCACACCTAACCTAGCTAGGGTGCACTTCGATAAACCTAACAAATTTTAAGCACATGCCCATCAAACCACGAGGTTTCATGGTTATCCGTGTGAAGAACAGGGGTGACAAGGCTTCTAGGTCTCACAGTACTATAGTACTAGGCTTCCATCTCGGCGGCCCCTGAAGTTCGACTCCCATCCTTCTCACACGGAATTGATGTGATAAACGCGCATATTTAATTATATATAAGCATGTCGTATGTTCATTAAAATTCAGAGTTTTCATTACATGAATCTTATGTGATAAGGAGCGTTGTAGCTCATTTTGTAGCATCAAAATGGGGAGATTTTATTGTTTGTTTTGACTTCAAAAGATAGGGGATGGCTCCGTGGTTGATGGCAACGTGATTGATGGCTCTGTGGTTGATGGCTCTATGGTTGATGGCTCTGTGGTTGATGGCTGGAGTCGCCTGCAAGAGTTGGACCTCATGGTTCGCCTGGAATACACTGACAGTCAAAGCATCAACTGCAGCCTAGTCTCGACAGTCAGCGGTAAGTATATTGAAAAATGTTAACAAGTGACATTTACATATTATATTGTTTCATATATCCTTGACGTGGGATCGGTTGGATTTCAAGCTTAGGTTTTATATATATATATATGTCGTACCTAGTAGCCAGAACGCACTTCTCAGCCTACTGTGCAAGGCCCGATTTGCCTAATAAGCCAAGTTTTCCTGAATTAATATTTTGTCTCTAATTTTTTCCTTATGAAATGATAAAGCTACCCATTTCATTAAGTATGAGGACAATTTTTTTTTATTGGAGCTAAAATTAACGTAGATATATGACCGAACCTAACCAACCCTACCTAACCTAACCTATCTTTATAGGTTAGGTTATGTTAGGTAGCCGAAAAAGTTAGGTTAGGTTAGGTAGGTTAGGTAGTCGAAAAACAATTAATTCATGAAAACTTGGCTTATTAGGCAAATCGGGCCTTGCATAGTAGGCTGACAAGTGCATTCTGGCTACTAGGTACGACATTATATATATATATATATATATATATATATATATATATATATATATATATATATATATATATATATATATATATATATATATATATATATATATATATATATATATATATATATATATATATATATATATATATATTTGGGTAGATATCAACATAAGCAGCCTCGTATGGGCTAATATATAGGCATTCTCCTGTTCTCAAATCCACATATGATATGTCATTTTGACTTCTGTGAATGGCTAATTTTATAAAACTTATTTAAATCTGGATGATAACAAATTTTCTTACACATCTATATATTCTTTAATTAATTTAAGCTTGAAAACAGCTTCTCCAGAACAAAATGACCTCGATCCGAAGGCACTGGACCCCTCCTGGTGCCTACCCCCTACAGAAGGTGGCATCAGTGCCTCTTTCTATGTCTGCCCCGACGGTTGGCACCTGATAGAGACAAGGTGCTTCCTACTGGCTAACGCCTCTGGCACCTGGCACGAGGGTCAGCAGTTCTGCAGTGAGGCTGGTGGGTCTCTGGCCACCGTCTCCAGCAAGTTCCAGCAGGCGATCCTCATGTGTGAGTTCCTATGTATAATGCCTTCATTTATCGTCCTATACAATATAGAATATATTCATAATATATTGGCTGCATTTTACATATGCAGAAAATATGGTAGTGTTTATGTGCTACCACTCGCAATGTACATATAGCATATATCTCACAATGTACATATAGCATATATCTCACATTGTACATTCATTATATATTATGTATATATATATATATATATATATATATATATATATATATATATATATATATATATATATATATATATATATATATATATATATATATATATATATATATATATATATCTCAGATACATGTATATGTACCTCTCAGTGGCTGCTATAGCTCTTGGAATAATGGGCGTGCATATTTGTCACATAATACTCCTTTAAAGAGTATGTAAACACTCATTATATATATTTAATGCATTAATAATCTTTATGCAGATGAAGTCACAATAACGTGGCTGACCAACAGCCACGTTATTGTTTTGGTCAACATTGATAATCCTTTACAATTGTTTTTACCACCACCCGCTACTACAATCACCCTACTACCTCCCTACAACCAACACAGCCACCTTCTTCTATTACCATCCGCAACCATTACTACCACCCTACAACCACAACCACCATCAACCACCAGTATCACCCTTATGTTACAGTGACACTGGACGAGGACACCTGGATAGGCTTCAACGACCTGGAGGAATCCTCGTACGTCTGGGTGGACGGCTCCCTTAGTACCTTCACCAGGTAGGCCCCATACCTCTCATCATGCATCCCCATATACATTTTATCATTCGCTCCACACCTGCGAGGAAACACACGTGCTTCACTATATACAACATTACCGTAAGCAAAACCTTAGGCCTAATGTAGCATATATTAGACCTAGGAGGCCTGGTCGACGACCGGGCCGCGGGGGCGCTAAGCCCCGGAAGCACCTCAAGGTAACCTCAAGGTAGGATAGCTTATTTACACCCTGGACAGGTTTGGTTCTTTAGTTACTTTCCACTTTTTTGTAAAACGCCATTTGGGCTAATTTTGTAATACAAAACGTGAACTTTTTTTGCGTCCGACAGCCTACTTTTATATGTCTGACCAAATAGTTACTATAACTGCTATCATTATCGTGGGAGGGGGGGGGTGTTTGCACCCGGTAATATAAATGAAGCACTCTTGCTTTACATGTCAACACTTCACCTTTAAGGGCGTTGTGAGCGTTCTATTCATGCACTGACAGGGGCACACTACGTCACGTGGGTTTGTTTTGTTTACATAGGAACAGCTGATCACGAGAAGTTAGCGGGGGAAATATTTTTGCGTATTGAAATATTTTAGCGTTGCGAAATATTTAGGCATAACGAAATATTTTATTGTCGAAATATTTTAGCGAGTTAAAATATTTTACCGTCTGAAAGTATATGTCAAAATATTTTAGCGTATTTGAATATAAGTAAAAATGATTTAGTGTATGAGAACATTTTAGCGTATGAAAATATTTTAGCGTATGAGAATAATTTAGCGTTTCATAACATTTAATCTAGAAAATATTTTAGCGTGTCAGAGAGTACCACACAACTAGCATATAATAATAGGATCCTACAGACACACATTGTAAATACGAGAGTACCCATGTAACGTTATATGACAAAGAGTGCTGGGAAGACGGGACACCACGAGCGTAGCTCTCATCCTGTAACTACACTTAGGTAATTACACTATGTTCATAACGTATGATAGTAGATATTCTGCATGACTGAAATTTTCAAGAATTATACTTGCACCAGTCTTGTAGTGACAAGTGTAGCTAACAGGCTCTTTGTTTACCTCCACCAGCTGGGCCGAGGATAAGCCTAGCGAGTCTAGTGTACTATGGATGATCAAGAAGCAGAAGAAGTGCGTAGCAATGCGACGCAAGTACTATTACCTCTGGAGTAACAACTATTGCGACGATGTCAAGCAGTAAGTGTTCTCTGACCTCTTATTCCATAACCAATGCCGTCTAATGCATGCTTCACAGTGACACATAACTGCCTCGTTCCTACAATGACCTAACTGCCTCGTTCCTACAATGACCTATCTGCCTCGTTCCCACAGTGACATAATTGTCATTTTCCAAAGGAGAGCCACTAACCGAATACTCACTAACAAGTGCCACTAATTAATGCTTCTTACCGAGTTATCTGAAAATCACTACAAGAATGTCATCGCATTCGATAAAGTTTGAATTCTAGTGAGTATAATATATCACTAATTTTGTTTAAGTTACTCACATCAAGTAATGCTGATTTCTACATATAGAGTATGCTGACTTGTATTCATCTCATGCTGACTATTGTATTCAGATCATGCTATGATTATGTGCGCCCGAGGGCACACCTAACCTAGCTAGGGTGCACTTCGATAAACCTAACAAATTTTAAGCACATGCCCATCAAACCACGAGGTTTCATGGTTATCCGTGTGAAGAACAGGGGTGACAAGGCTTCTAGGTCTCACAGTACTATAGTACTAGGCTTCCATCTCGGCGGCCCCTGAAGTTCGACTCCCATCCTTCTCACACGGAATTGATGTGATAAACGCGCATATTTAATTATATATAAGCATGTCGTATGTTCATTAAAATTCAGAGTTTTCATTACATGAATCTTGTGTGATAAGGAGCGTTGTAGCTCATTTTGTAGCATCAAAATGGGGAGATTTTATTGTTTGTTTTGACTTTAAAAGATAGGGGATGGCTCCGTGGTTGATGGCTCTGTGGTTGATGGCTCTATGGTTGATGGCTCTGTGGTTGATGGCTGGAGTCGCCTGCAAGAGTTGGACCTCATGGTTCGCCTGGAATACACTGACAGTCAAAGCATCAACTGCAGCCTAGTCTCGACAGTCAGCGGTAAGTATATTGAAAAATGTTAACAAGTGACATTTACATATTATATTGTTTCATATATATATATATATATATATATATTTGGGTAGATATCAACATAAGCAGCCTCGTATGGGCTAATATATAGGCATTCTCCTGTTCTCAAATCCACATATGATATGCCATTTTGACTTCTGTGAATGGCTAATTTTATAAAACTTATTTAAATCTGGATGATAACAAATTTTCTTACACATCTATATATTCTTTAATTAATTTAAGCTTGAAATCAGCTTCTCCAGAACAAAATGACCTCGATCCGAAGGCACTGGACCCCTCCTGGTGCCTACCCCCTACAGAAGGTGGCATCAGTGCCTCTCTCTATGTCTGCCCCGACGGTTGGCACCTGATAGAGACAAGGTGCTTCCTACTGGCTAACGCCTCTGGCACCTGGCACGAGGGTCAGCAGTTCTGCAGTGAGGCTGGTGGGTCTCTGGCCACCGTCTCCAGCAAGTTCCAGCAGGCGATCCTCATGTGTGAGTTCCTATGTATAATGCCTTCATTTATCGTCCTATACAATATAGAATATATTCATAATATATTGGCTGCATTTTACATATGCAGAAAATATGGTAGTGTTTATGTGCTACCACTCACAATGTACATATAGCATATATCTCACAATGTACATATAGCATATATCTCACATTGTACATTCATTATGTATATATATATATATATATATATATATATATATATATATATATATATATATATATATATATATATATATATATATATATATATATATATATATATATATATCTCAGATACATGTATATGTACCTCTCAGTGGCTGCTATAGCTCTTGGAATAATGGGCGTGCATATTTGTCACATAATACTCCTTTAAAGAGTATGTAAACACTCATTATATATATTTAATGCATTAATAATCTTTATGCAGATGAAGTCACAATAACGTGGCTGACCAACAGCCACGTTATTGTTTTGGTCAACATTGATAATCCTTTACAATTGTTTTTACCACCACCCGCTACTACAATCACCCTACTACCTCCCTACAACCAACACAGCCACCTTCTTCTATTACCATCCGCAACCATTACTACCACCCTACAACCACAACCACCATCAACCACCAGTATCACCCTTATGTTACAGTGACACTGGACGAGGACACCTGGATAGGCTTCAACGACCTGGAGGAATCCTCGTACGTCTGGGTGGACGGCTCCCTTAGTACCTTCACCAGGTAGGCCCCATACCTCTCATCATGCATCCCCATATACATTTTATCATTCGCTCCACACCTGCGAGGAAACACACGTGCTTCACTATATACAACATTACCGTAGGCAAAACCTTAGGCCTAATGTAGCATATATTAGACCTAGGAGGCCTGGTCGACGACCGGGCCGCGGGGGCGCTAAGCCCCGGAAGCACCTCAAGGTAACCTCAAGGTAGGATAGCTTATTTACACCCTGGACAGGTTTGGTTCTTTAGTTACTTTCCACTTTTTTGTAAAACGCCATTTGGGCTAATTTTGTAATACAAAACGTGAACTTTTTTTGCGTCCGACAGCCTACTTTTATATGTCTGACCAAATAGTTACTATAACTGCTATCATTATCGTGGGAGGGGGGGGGTGTTTGCACCCGGTAATATAAATGAAGCACTCTTGCTTTACATGTCAACACTTCACCTTTAAGGGCGTTGTGAGCGTTCTATTCATGCACTGACAGGGGCACACTACGTCACGTGGGTTTGTTTTGTTTACATAGGAACAGCTGATCACGAGAAGTTAGCGGGGGAAATATTTTTGCGTATTGAAATATTTTAGCGTTGCGAAATATTTAGGCATAACGAAATATTTTATTGTCGAAATATTTTAGCGAGTTAAAATATTTTACCGTCTGAAAGTATATGTCAAAATATTTTAGCGTATTTGAATATAAGTAAAAATGATTTAGTGTATGAGAACATTTTAGCGTATGAAAATATTTTAGCGTATGAGAATAATTTAGCGTTTCATAACATTTAATCTAGAAAATATTTTAGCGTGTCAGAGAGTACCACACAACTAGCATATAATAATAGGATCCTACAGACACACATTGTAAATACGAGAGTACCCATGTAACGTTATATGACAAAGAGTGCTGGGAAGACGGGACACCACGAGCGTAGCTCTCATCCTGTAACTACACTTAGGTAATTACACTATGTTCATAACGTATGATAGTAGATATTCTGCATGACTGAAATTTTCAAGAATTATACTTGCACCAGTCTTGTAGTGACAAGTGTAGCTAACAGGCTCTTTGTTTACCTCCACCAGCTGGGCCGAGGATAAGCCTAGCGAGTCTAGTGTACTATGGATGATCAAGAAGCAGAAGAAGTGCGTAGCAATGCGACGCAAGTACTATTACCTCTGGAGTAACAACTATTGCGACGATGTCAAGCAGTAAGTGTTCTCTGACCTCTTATTCCATAACCAATGCCGTCTAATGCATGCTTCACAGTGACACATAACTGCCTCGTTCCTACAATGACCTAACTGCCTCGTTCCTACAATGACCTATCTGCCTCGTTCCCACAGTGACATAATTGTCATTTTCCAAAGGAGAGCCACTAACCGAATACTCACTAACAAGTGCCACTAATTAATGCTTCTTACCGAGTTATCTGAAAATCACTACAAGAATGTCATCGCATTCGATAAAGTTTGAATTCTAGTGAGTATAATATATCACTAATTTTGTTTAAGAAGGTATAAAACGAAGCACATTTTTGCCTTATATTTCCATATTCTCAAAGTTTGACACCTTTAAAAAGTCTGGCAAAACTGCTGACGATTTTTAGTATCCAAGACCAGTCATGGAGGTACTCCCCCAGTGGACAGAAATGCTCAAGTAACATTGTAATAGAGAGTCACCAGAGCAGGGCGTGGTACATAATATCTGATCTTAGAAAGAATGCCCACAGTTTTTGAAACTTTTTTTGATATATTTAGAATGTGTCCCTGGAAATTCAGCTTGTTGTCAATGAGAATGCCAAGGAATTTGCCATCTAATTTGTTACAAATTTGGGTATTGTTTATTTTGAGATTTATAAGACTAGAGGATTTATTGCCAAACAGAATATAGAAGGTTTTGTCAATGTTAAGGGTGAGTTTGTTGGCAGTTAGCCAATGATGGACTTTATTTAGCTCAGTATTTACTGTGGCATTTAGAGCAAGAGGGTCAGGACTGGAGTAAATGAAGGTTGTGTCGTCAGCAAATAGAATTGGTTTGAGGTGTTGGGAGGCATTTGGAAGGTCATTAATGTAGATGAGAAAGAGGAGAGGGCCAAGTATGCTGCCCTGAGGAACACCAATGTTGATGGGTAGGGTGGGAGAAATTGTATTATTCACAGAAACATATTGGAGCCTGTCAGTAAGGTAGGACTCGAGGTATTGTAGGGAGTGCCCTCTGACTCCATAATGATGTAATTTAAGAAGAAGGTTATGGTGGTTGACAGTATCAAAAGCTTTACGCAGGTCCACAAATAACCCAACAGGGAGCTCCTTTTTATCAAGGGCTGTATGAATCGAGTTAAGCATACTAATGAGTGCATCGTTAGTGCTTTTTTTGGGTCTGAAGCCATATTGGCAAGGGCTAAGTATATTGAGTTTGGCTAGATATGAGTAAAGCTGCTTGTATATAAGTTTTTCAAAAATTTTTGACAAGTTTGGCAGGATTGATATAGGTCTGTAGTTGTTAACATCTGTGGGATCACCACATTTGTGGACAGGCGTTACTCTCGCTTTTTTTAGAATATCTGGAAAGGTTTGGAGTTCAAGTGACTTGTTGAAGAGCAAAGCAATAGCAGGGGCTAAAGATCTGGAGGCTTTTTTGTATATTAAAGTTGGTATCTCCTCAAGGGCACTAGACTTGGTTTTAAGGGAAAGGATTATCTCATTGACGTCAGTGGAATTAATAGGCTTTAGGTACAGAGACTGTGGATAGTTACCTGTAAGATAGTCCTTAATGTCAGTACTGGAAGATGGAATATCATTTGCAAGGGATGAACCAATGGAAGAGAAGAACCTATTGAACTCAATAGCAGAATCAGAGGCTGAAAGCTGACCATCGTTATTAGACAGGAGAGTCGGTTTGTTATTTAAAGATTTCTTTGATCCCAATATTTGTGAAATTGTGCTCCAAGTTTGTTTAATGTTGCTCTTTATTTGAGTAAATTTATCTTCGTAGTAATTAGTTTTGGCTCGTCTAATTATCTTAGTTAGCAATAATGAGTAATTCTTTGAGAATTCTTTGGAGACAATTCCTAACCTATACTTCTTCTCAAGGTCGTGTTTTTTGTTAATGGATTTCAGTATTCCCTTTGTAAGCCAAGGATTGTTAAGCCTTTTGCTTGTGACGAATCATTTACCCATCGTGTGGCCACTGGGCATCCCGTCTCTGTCTACTCTGATAACGTGCCCTTACCCCTTGCCTTACTCATGGGACATTATCTCCTTGGGGAGCCAGCTATACCCTCAAGACTACCTCTCCCTCTCCCATATGTTGTTGACAGGGACCTTAATTTAAGTCTATTACGGGCTATTCATGCCCGTTCCACCTCTTGGGTGGCTTATTCTTCATCAATCAATCAATCTCAAGTCCAACCTATGAGTCTGGTACTCACCTAGTTGTGCTTGCTGGGGGATGGGTTGAGCTTCGGCTCTTTAGTCCCGCCTCTCAACTGTCAATCAGGTAATGTACAGGTTTATGAGCCTACTGGGCTCTATCATATCTACATTTGAAACTGTGTTTGGTGTCTGCCTCCACGGCACGGTGGAAGGGTTTCTGCAGGAGTTTGCATGCTTGGGCAAATTTCCTGACCTCTCTTCTAGGTCCTGTTACAAGAAAACTTGACATTACTAAGACAAATATATTGTTTATAGTGTGAAATTTGTCTATATTACAGGTTCCTGTGTAGCGTCCCAGCGGTACCCACCACAACTACCACCTCTACCACAACTACCACAACCACCACCACTACCACAACCACCACCCCATCAACAACCACCACCCCCACAACCAACAGTCCGCAGTCTGCCTGCGATGAGGGGTGGCAGCAATACCAGTCATCATGTTACTATGTCAGCGAGGAAGAAGTTTCGTGGCAGAGTGCTCTAGAATACTGTAGCCTCATGGGCGCCTCCCTGACCTCTGTCACCAGCGAGGAGGAGCACCTCTTCCTCACCAGTGGGTTCACCATCACGTTTTAACTGTAATATACCAGCCCGCGCTCTTCATTTGTCACTCCGTAAAAAAATACTAATGTTTTGCTTAATCAGAAACGTAAAAATAAAACTGTTTAGCCTGATCAATCTGACCTATTGAGGCCGATCAATCATAAACGTCCATATTACGGTGCTTAAATGTTTACTAACACGACGTATTTTTAACGGAGTGGTCGATTCCGTGAAAAACAGCGACGCATTTGGTGAATGGACGAATTAGTCATGGTTTCCATTTTAGCATAGGCCCAGAAATTTATGCCTGTTTTCTGACACCTGATAACTCTATTCACCTAGCAGTAGAGTTAGGCGTACCTGGGACTTGGACAACTTTTGTGGGCTGCATCCTGTAGTTGGTCTAGGGGGACCTTACTCCTGATGCCTCTGTTCACCTACCAGTAAAGAGGTACCCTGGAGTGAGGCAACTGTTGTGGGCTGCATGGTCAGAAAGACCAGGGCCCAGATTCATGAAGCAGTTACGCAAGCACTTACGAACCTGTCCATCTTTTCTTAATCTTTGACGCCTTTGTTTACAATTATTAAACAGTTAATGCGCTTCGAAGCACCAGGAGGCTGTTTATAACAATAACAACAGTTTATTAGAAAGTTTTCATGCTTGTAAACTGTTTAATAAATGTAACCAAAGCCGTCAAAGTTTGAGGAAAGATGTACACGTTCGTAAGTGCTTGCGTAACTGCTTCGTGAATCTGGCCCCTAGTTACGACCCTACACATCTTTCGTCAATCATGGCGGCTTTGTTTACAATTAATAAACAGTTTGTGAGCGCCGAAGCACATGGCAATAAAACTTCATGGGGAATTGTGATGCTTGTAAACTGTTTAATAAATGTAAACAAAGTCGCCAAAGGTTGGGGAAATGTGTACCGGTTCGTAAGTACTTGCGTAAATGCGTGTTGAATCCTGGCTCAATTTCCCTATTTTCATGCTGATGAGTCGTCCCTTCTCTCCCGTCTGGCAGACCTGGTCACGGAAAACACGTGGATTGGCCTCAGTGACCAGCACACAGAAGGATATTATGTCTGGGCAGATAATAGCGCCTATAACTTCTCCAGGTGAGTCGCTCCATGCACCTGGTGTGCCTAATTGATCAATATTAAATCAACATAGGATCAATATTAAACAAAATAGGATCAACTTTAAATTAACATAGGATTAACATTAAATCAATATAGGATCAATGTTAAAAAGACAAATGAGCGTTAAATTAACATATGATCAACATTAACTCAAACGACGTTGAATTAACGCCAATAAAGTAGATTTAACTTCACTCCAGGATGTTGTAACTGCTGGGAGTACAAGTCCTCGTTGATATACATGGAACATATGTGAATCACAAGTAGTTATGTATAAAGCATTACTAGTGTTAATATAAATTATTATTGTTTGTATCAGGTGGGGGTACAACGAGCCCAGTAATTCTTACAGTTTCCTGGCACTCGATGATGAAGACTGTGTTGAGATGAGATGGAACATCGAATATCTTTGGAACGATGAACCTTGCGATACGGATAACAGGTTAGTTAAACACACACACACACAACACTAGGTGAGTACACAGGTGCCTGGCTTCAAGGGTTACTAATACGAGGAGCCTAGTTTCATAGGTAACTAGTGAATGAAAAATATATGCAAGTTATAATTATTGTACTTTGCTTATTTTAGTTTTTTTAAACAGCAAAACAATTGCTTTTATTTAACAAAAGTGTCCATCAAATTGCAAAAGCGTTTCAAAATTATGGAAATCTCAGATAAAAACTTTAATAGTTTCAATTAGCTGTGTGCTCTGCAAAATTTAGAGCAATATTTAATATATATTAATCAACGCATTCATATCTGTGCTGTTATGATCTGCTTTTTAATAAAAACGATTTTGCATGAATAGTCTAAGCACCATTAGTCCATGGAAAGAAATAATTAGCCTTAGTCTCGCGCATGCGTAAATTAAAAACTTTTAAGTGATGTTTAAGCACTAACGTCCTATTTATTTTCCAGGTTCATCTGTGAGCGGCCAGTCAACAACTATGGCTATAATACTGTTTACTAGCTACAGAACAAATGACAACCTATTGATAGTCCAATTGACCGGCCACAGAGCCTAATACAGTGCCATCAGCCATAGTCAGTCAGTCACTATATATTAAACTTTTGAATATTACTAAACATTTCTTGTATAATTAGTTCCTTTGAAACATGCGATTTAATTTGAATTCACTATACGGAAATATATGGTAATATTGTGCTCTTTAAATCCAATAATCACGGAGTATATACGGTGCAAGGTGTACTTTGGTTTTTCGAAGTATATACACCTTTGTGACCTTTGTGTACGTATTCTCTTGCATTCATGTGGCTGTTGTATTTATGAATGCTCTCTATGGCGAGCATTCATGCATTGTTTGGTATTGTGCGGGTACTTTGACGTCCGCATGGGTTGGTGTTGAACCCTACGAGGTACCATGTTTATACATTGATGCACAGATTGATTGTACGTAATTATTGTTTGAGGCTGGTTGTGCTAGTTTTGTCGGCTCCATGTGAGGATATTTCCTTGCCTTATCGTATGTACATATTGTATTATCGTGTTTGAAATAAAACAATTTGTTTTAATCAAAATTGTTAGGGAACTCCGCTGTCGTTAGGCTTTAGTGTATCACTGAGCTAGAAAGATTGAAAATTAAACTGGATTCAACAAGTTAAAATTGACACAAGAAAACCTTTAAAGCTTATTTGAGTATCATGGTAAAAAATTGTCAGGAATTGGTAGTTGTTTTATACTGATTGATCCCATCCGTCCTTTTGACATTGGTTAACCCTCTTCCTGGTGATATTGGTTAATCCCTCCCTGTAATAAATATTGGTTGACTCCCAGCCTCCTGGTGATATTTTTTTTACCCCACCTCCTAGTGATATTGATTGACCCCGCCCACGTCCTGATGATATTGGTTAACCTCACACCTTCTGCTGATATATGTTGATCTTCCCACCTTCTTGTGATATTGTTTACGACTCTCCCACCTCCTGGTGATATTTGTTGATCCACACCTGGTGATATTGATTAACCGCCCCTCCTGATATTTATTGCCCGGAAGGTGAAACGCCAAGCCTATTCGCGATACGATTGACGCCAATCGCTGGAAACTAATATGCCTTTCGGCTAAGAAACACAGACAGGTAGATGATAGGGAAGCCCCAGGAGTCCCTCAGGGTGACAGGCATCGGCCCCGCCCCACACAGAGAACACTGGGTAACAAAACCAAAAAGTGACCCCGGCAGAGCAGAAGCCAGCCGCCCACCACGACTGAGGGCACACCAGGAGCCCACCAACCCCCGGTACCTCTCGGCCAAGCTGGCGCCGGACACCGTCACTCCGCCGGGAGAACCAGCCAGAACACTCAAAAAAAATCTATCAACAATCCCGTGACCCGAGGCGATATGTGCGCCAGTCGTCGTGCAATCAGATCGTTGAAGAGGAATGCCAAACGGCAGTATCAAATCCTAATCACAAACCAGAATATGATCCCGCGGCTTCTAGGAAGAGGAGGCGTCCAGACGTCCTCTCGGCGTCAAGGTGGAACCAGAAGTCTCTGTGTTACTGTATCAGACACACTGTGACATCATAAAATGGGCGGAGCTTTGACGTGATTGGCTGTTTTAGTGAATGTCAACACAGTTTCTACCAATGAAATGCGAGCGCGGGAAAGGCTACCTCAGCACAACAACCTCCTTTATGAGCTGCTGTTGGCCTGCTGATTGTATCATCACTGAATATCATCATTTCCTTGACTTTGATTATATACTAGACTATTATAAGTTAGTCTATAAAGGATTAAAATGTAAATCAAAACACAATATGAAAATTAAGCATTTATTTTTTTGATTTTTTGAGGAATATAAAATACAAAATATGTGAACCAAACAATTCTGTAATTGGAAAGCTGTAGGTTAACAATTTTAGGTAGAATTAAGCCACCATGGCGAAAATATTAGTCCCCTAACGTAATTTTGTACATTATGATATCGTGTTGATAATTACAGTGTCACAAATAATGTGAAAGACGTGGTTAGGTTAGGTTAGGGTTATGTTCGATGTATATTAGCCTTTGAAAGAGGATATGTTATCTTTACAATCATGTATATGGTAGAGAAGCCTCACTGCCATATCGTCCACAACATTATTTATGATAACCATCCAGTCTTTCAATATAAACAAAGAATAATAAACACCTAATCTAACCTAACATAAAGAAGGCTAATCTAACCTAACATAACCAAGCCTATTCTAATCTAACATAACCAAAGTTTTTCTAACATAACCAAGCCTAATCTAACCTAACCTAGCCTATTTACTGCCTTTGCCAGAAATTGCATTAAAAAAATAGTTTATAACGAGCAATAAGACAGAAAAATATTATATCATAACCATATTATATAATGTATATGTATATATATCAATATGATATATCATTTTATTGAATATAGCAAATGATAAAAACGATATATATATATATATATATATATATATATATATATATATATATATATATATATATATATATATATATATATATATATATATATACACACACGACAATGTCAGACCACGAAGGAAGGATTAAGTCAGGAATTTCCTTAAATACTCTCTTTCTTAATAATACATCTTCAGAAGGATGGATTTACAGTTTAGTGGTGTGGATATATAGGCAGGAAAGCCTCTTTCCTGCCTATGTCTATTCTTGCATTTCTGTATTTATGCTAAAATCACAGTCCATGTTCAATCACTTGCATAATGCCATAAGTTTATCACAAACATCTGATTCGGTGGCTTCACCATTTCCAACAAAAGTCTGGCTGGTAACGTTACCAGACGACTACAGCAGCCCAGAGTATGCCACTGGCGGGGGGTCAGTGAAATCACAATATTTCACTAGCAAGCCTGCCACTGGCGCCACACGGTAGCATTAGCTACTTGGGTAGGAAGCCTTCGTTATCGTAGTCGAGAGGCCGTAGTCTAGGTGGGGGGAATTGCTTGCCGCGGGATTCCGGGAGGTCCTCGGGGGCACCGGGGCAGCAGCCGTCGTTCTGGAGTGGGACATACAGCCTGGTGGTGTGGGTGTTGCCATCCCGGGTCCCCACACACACGTTCACTTTATTATAGCGGGGTGTGCACGGTGACCTCTGCCTCCTGCGGGACGAGACACTGTTCTAAGTTAAGCATCACTCTTCCTGCAGGTATGTCAACATGGACACGCATAAATAAAGGTATATATGCACGCTATACCTCTTGACCCATGTGAGGCAGTTACTATTTATATCCAACTATTCTCATTCATATATTTGTCTAGCTGAGCTTCAAACATTCTAGTGGTTTTAGAACATTCATCTTAGCAAGTTATTCCGTAGATCTGTAACTCTAAACATGAATCTAGTAAGCAATTAAATAATATGAATCTGATTTATCTAGGAGAAAATAGTAAAACCATACGTGAGATCATGAATTAATTTTTCAAAATTAAAAAATGTTCAAATGTTTATTCAGGTGAAGTACATACATACAATTGGTGATACAAATATTAATGAATTTATAGATAGAGCTAGTACATACAATGCCTAAAGCCACTATTACGCAAAGCGTTTCGGGCAGAAACGTTTTTTGGTGTTCTATCTTTTGTGTTTTATACTGTCAAAGCCCTATTTGTATCATACCAGTGTAAAATGCTTCATTCATCTATACACCTCACCCACGTCTCATTTTAATTTACGTCTTTCTAGTGTAAAATGCATTTCTTTGTCTCTTTATATGGTCGAGTTTTAATGCAATAAATTAATTTAGTTACCCTTCTATATGTTTTTTTTATAGAAAATATGCATCCACTCTAAAGTTAAGGGTATACTGTACTGAACAACATATATAAGGTCCCACAAGGGCAAAAAGTATTGAGGATTTTATTATTAACGCTTCTAGATATAAATCGTAGTGCCTATTAACCTCCATTGTTTACTTATGCCTCGTAGGTCGTTTTATCGTAGTACAGTTAGCCTCGTCCTAAAGTACTGTAATGACTTCTATAACCTCGTAATCCGATCTTTTTTATTTGTCCTGTTTGAAACCTACGGAAGATTGACTAGACGGATAAAGTGTTCGATAGAGAGACGCTGTTCTTAGTCTCTATATATGGCTGGTTTCTAATGCCAGGAAATAATTTAGATGGATAGACAATTTAGACGATGGATAGAGTGCTCGATAGAGAGCACTCCTTCGTTTCTGTCAGTGCAATAATACCAACTGTTTATGTGCACAAAAGTATACCTAAATCGTCTATTTGACATCTAAGAATCTTGCTATTTGTGTAGTAGACGTTAAGGGGGGTTGATGCCCCCTGTCCGCTCCTATTCTTTATACCCAAACTTTATTCTTTTATTCCTAAACGTTTTCCCTGCCAGCACACACCTCCTTTCACACACATTCCCTTACTTCTAACACTTTAATCCCCGGAACATGAAGAGGACTCCCCTGGAGGGAGCAGGAGGATGTTGGAGGAGCATAAGGGAGAATCACCTGGAGGGTGAGGGAGCAGGAGGGGCGTGAGGATGAGGTAGGAACGTGGGGAAACACTTACCTGGATGAGGGTGATGGAGGGTGAGGAAGCTGTAGTGCATTGGGGACCTCCACTGGGGCCTCCTCCGGACAGTACTGTGGAGGACAATCAATACATCAAAACTCGCCTCTCTCTCTCTATAAACAAATACCACACTCCTAGCATCTTCAAGAAACATCTAAGACACAACTGAGGCTAAAGCAACCAGTATGTTTCTCTTTAATGAAAACAAAATGGACATCTCAGCCTTTTTTACTTAGCAATTTGTTATAATTTTTGTAAAACAGAGATTGTTTGGTTTTCATCATAACCGAATGATATGGTGTGAGTTTTATACAAAATATATACCAAAGTTGTTGGTTATTATTAGCTGGTGGAGTACCAGCTGATGGAGTACCAGCTGGTGGAGTACCAGCTGGTGGAGTACCAGCTGGTGGAGTACCAGCTGGTGGAGTACCAGCTGGTGGAGTACCAGCTGGTGGAGTACCGACTGCTGGAGTACCATTTACTTAATATACACTTCTAAAACAAAGGCCGACTCGTCCTCACAGGCACACATGTAGTATACTCACAGAGAAAGGAAAGTTAACACTATGGAAACTAGAAAAAAACTGAAAATCTAGAACAAGTGTGTTTATGCCAAGCTAAAGGTTCCAACTCTAGCAGGAGAGTACAGGTGTGATGACACCTGTCGCTCTTGCTAGATGAAGCCGGTCTCAGGAGCTGGGGGATGTCACTATACAGGGCGTGGGGTGAGCAGTTTACCTGCGGCAGGAAAGCCACTATACAGGACGTGGGGTGAGCAGTTTACCTGCGGCAGGAAAGCCACTATACAGGACGTGGGGTGAGCAGTTTACCTGCGGCAGGAAAGCCACCATACAGGGCGTGGGGTGAGCAGTTTACCTGCGGCAGGAAAGCCACCATACAGGGCGTGGGGTGAGCAGTTTACCTGCGGCAGGAATGTCACCACACTGGACGTTCCTGATGACACCGTTGTGGCTCACGGAAGGTAAGCTGGACCGTAAGAGACTTTCACTGCAGAGTCGAGAGATGTTCTGAGGGGGAGGGAAGGTCTCGAACTAAGGTCTTACCTAAAGTCTTGCTGTCACTCCACCTGGAGTTATCTCCTAACAGTTTAACACCTCTGATATCTTGCTAACGTATGTTGTACCATGTTTATGTAGTGTGTATCCTGTCACAAGTGTAGTGGCATATTTATGTAGCGTGTACACGAATGTTGTCATATTTATGTGGTGTGTCTCGGATGATCTCTGTGTGTCGAGTTTAGTCACACTTGTTGAAGCAGCCGGTGGTCTGGGGCAGCTATTTACGGTATTAGGCTTTTGTGAAACTCACGAGCCGTGTTGTTGATGAATCGTCACTCTGTAGGCGTGAGGCTTTGATATTAATGATGGTTATATTCACTCATGAATGAAGTTTCGATAAATGAAGTGTTGTATAAATTAGAGAATCCGTAAGATGTATACCAGCCTCTCGTCGTATCACAAGTCCCGGACTCCCGCAGTCGTCCCGAGTTAGTTTACGTGTACTGGCACAGAGGGTTTACTGTACATGGCTGTAGTCGGGGCCGACAACCCTGCCGGTGGCGGGTTCAGAAGGCTGTTGGGGTAAGTGTGGCAACACAGACTTCACTAACAGCAGTGAGGTGAAAGCCTGCCTCTGTAGTGATACTGGAGGGTGTCATTGACATTACTGCACAAGGATAATGTGAGAATAAACGATTGTTGTCAGTGGTGATTTGACGTAATGAGTGGTGTTTGACGTCAAGGGTTGTTTGACGTCTTGAGTGATGTGACGTCTTATGTTAAGTGACATCTTCAGTATTGTAACATCTATACATCTATCTTGACTAGTGTGACATCTTGAGTGGTGTGACATCTTGAGTTTAGTAACTACATTAGTACACAGAAGCCTATGTTATTTAACATAAAATTTGAGTCTAAAAACTTTAAAGTAACCAAATATACCAACAATTTTCTTGCTTAACTCGAGTGCTTAGACATAAAAAACCACATATTTCACAATTAATTATATTTTACCTCTTATATAATAATCTATAACGACAGAATATATAATTATGGGTTTTACTTAATACATACAGTATATTGTTGTAGCTTGGAATACATTAAAAGAAAAAGAAATAGGCAACTGTTGTGGGTTGGATCTTGGGGAAAGGTCAGTAATAGGCCTAGGGGGACCTTTCACCTAATATCTCTGTCCACCTAGCAGGAAATAGGTACCCAGGAAATAGGAACCATAACAAAACTGGACTACAAGCACTCGAGAAAAGCAAAAAATAATCTTTAGTGCAAACATTTAGTGCAGAAAATGAGCCAACTGTGTATACAATTAGTATAACTTGAATATATAAATGTTAAACTTGAAGAAACAATTAGAATTGAAGGATACAACAGACTAAAAACCCAGTTCAATATCCAAAAAGTATAGAACTCATAGCAACTAATGATCGGACTTACAAAAATGGACTTTATTATACTCATAAAAAGACCATAAAATATATGCCTAAGATGGCATATATATTAGGCGTAAGGATTGCATATTTAGGCCTGACAGGTTGCATCAGGATGTATAACTAGTGTTCCAGTGTTTAGTTTGCAACATTTGCAGGACACCAACAGTACAAAACGTGAACTATGGTTTTACATTTCAACAGTATATTTTTTGAACGTTTGACCAAATAGTTACTACGAGTACTATTATTATTTTAGAAGGATAGGCTCAGTAAAGGACAAGATGGAACTTCCAAACAAACCCTCAGTGCTGACTGACGTAAGATGACAGGAGAAAAGCAGAAGTTACAGGGGCATCTGGCAGATACTCAGACCTCCTTGACGACACAACAGACACACAACCCACCATGATGACACAACACACACACACAACCCACCATGATGACACAACACACACAACCCACCATGATGACACAACACACACACACAACCCACCATGATGACACAACACACACACAACCCACCATGATGACACAACACACACACACACAACCCACCATGATGACACAACACACACAACCCACCATGATGACACAACACACACAACCCACCATGATGACACAACACACACACAACCCACCATGATGACACAACACACACACACACAACCCACCATGATGACACAACACACACACACACAACTCACCTTGATGAGACAACACACACACACACAACCCACCATGATAACACAACACACACACACACAACCCACCTTGATGACACAACACACACACACACAACCCACCTTGATGACACAACACACACACACACAACCCACCTTGATGACACAACACACACACACACAACCCACCATGATGACACAACACACACACACACAACCCACCTTGATGACAGGGGGACACTTATCACTCTTGGAAGACTTGCTAGTAACGTGTGCTTTGTTGTTGAGCGCATCCTTATTATTGGCCTCACAGACGTTGTTGGAAGTGACTTCGTTGTTTACCATGTCGTCCTTGCCGCACTCCGTCAGGACCTCCGGGTACATTCTGTGCATCACGTCTACGATCATATACGACACCTGTGTGCGACGAGAACGCCCTCTTAGACCTTAAGAACATAAGCTTAAAGGAACCTACAACAGGGCCTGTTGGTCCATACCAGGCAGCTCCTATTTTTATCCATCCAAACTCATTCATATGTCTGTCCTATGCTTGAAACAATCTAGTGATCTCAGGTCCATGTCACCCGGTAATTGGTTCCACAAATCAACAACCCTGTTTCCAAGCCAGTATTTACCCAGGTCTTTCCTAAATCTAAAAATGATCCTATTTGTATATGGACATAATAAGCAGACTGCACTAACTTATATTGTAACACATGGACTTATATATTGCATCGGGGAACGATACCATTTTATTGCATTTATCCGGATTTCCATTTAAATATAATTGGGATTTTTGTACGGAGGTAAGACAATTAAGAGTTGATGCTATGCTAGACTAAGAGCTGGGATATGAGAACAAGGTGCTGGGTTATGAGGACAAAGGTGCTGGGATATGAGGACAAAGGTGCTGGGATATGAGGACAAGGTGCTGGGATATGAGGACAAGGTGCTGGGATATGAGGACAAGGAGCTAGGATATGAGAAGGAGCTGGGATACGAGGACACAGTGTAGGGAAGGTGCCCAATCACTTAGACCATCGTAGACTGAACTCCGACCCTGATTTCTAAACCACATGACAATCTAATCACCTAACCACTTAGCCCTCCAGCTACCAAACTACCTTGTAAGTTATTCAGCAAACCACTTATTTAGCTACCGAACCTCTTGGCAAGATTCACAACACTTACGAGATCTGTGTCCTTTACCTTGATTATTGAATCTTAAGTCTGCATTTACTAACAGTTTATAAGCACCAAAAGCGCTACGAGGACGGCCTTGTAGCACTCCGAAGCTCGTCAACTGTTTAGTAAATACAGAATAATCTATGATCGAAGAGGTACAGAGATTCATGTCACAATAACGGGGGATCTTTATAAAGTCGTCTTGACTTGATAAAGATCCAGGATGGTCCAAAATATTATAACTGAATTTCGTTTTATGTGCAGGTTGGCTTATTTGTAAGAGAGAGTTACAGATTTCGTAAGAGGTAAATACTCTGCGAATGATGACCAAGCCGCAGATATGGGAAACCACTCGGAACCACCTTGAAATTGAAATTGAAATTGAAATAAGTTTATTGATGTAAAATACACACAAAGGGATGAGGTAGCTCAAGCTATTCTCGCCCCGTTCAGTACATTGTGTTAATACATAGACACACATCACAAACAATAAACATATTACCAAACATTCTGAGAGATAAACATATACATTTCCTCCTTTACACAAGTAGTATGGTATCAGACGTACACACAAATACTTTTATGACCTAGGTATACTGTATAGACAATTTGCAAGAGACATGCAGATAATTCAACAAAAAATTACAGTCTTAGTGCAAACCAAGACTGTAATTTTCCAAGACGGAAATTTTCCAAGGTTCCAAGACGGAACCACCTAGTCATTAAAACCATGCAGATCCTCACCTCCATATGACGGTCAAGGAAATCATTCGTATCAAAGTCGTCGTCATCATCGCCGAAGGGATTGAGGAGCGACTCAGCCACCTTGAGCCATCCCATGTAGAATATGAACTGTAGGAAGGTGAATATTGGGACGTAGAAGTCTATGTAATGGTTCTCGTAGCCCTGATTTGGGTCCAGGAACTGCCGGCCCAGAATGGCAAACCCGAAGTAGGAATAGGTCGCCATTGTCACAACCTAAGACCAGATAATCAATCAAAAACAATCCTTTAAAAGGTTCAATCAGTATCTTTCTTTGTAAATGTCTCAAGTCAATTAATAACTTTGTATATGTTTCAATCAATAAATAACATACAGTAAATGTTTGTATGTGTATAATTGACTTAATTTAATAAAAAAAGTTCAGTTATATTGTTCATTTATACAAGAGAAGACAGATACTAGTAATCTAATTCGAATCATTATATTCATACATAACAAATAATAAAATACATCTATGTTCATTATATCATGATACTGAATACATGAAAAATATTATGAAAACAATAGTAATTGTTACAATTATAATATATTAAACAGATACATTATATACATTATATCTATCATGGGTTATTAATAATGCAATTTGTATTCTCATCAATGTTATCTTATCATTAGCAGTACAGTAAGTGAAGTTAAACTTGCGTCAGACGTTAAGTGTTGTATTGACATGAAAGGCAAAACTAATAGATTCTATGAAGATGCGCTGCCCAAATGATTTTACTGAGTAACAGTGGTTTTCCTGGATGATTACGAGTGGTATGTAATGGTACCCAAGAGTAAGTGAGGTACCTGGGTAGATTTGGGTGGTATACCAAATTTAGATACCTATAGGTGTATATAAGCAATACATTAAGGGGGTACATTAATACACAGAGTGAAGTACCTGGGTGTACACAAGCGGTACACTCATGGTGTTGTATTCTTGTAACTTGCCGCAGTTGTAGCGCAAGTTTGTCACCTCCTTGATGATGACCTTGAGACCATAGCTGTCAGGACAGCGATCTTCTTTCTTCGCCTGAGACGCTACCATACACGCCCACATTAACGGCATCCAGATCTTGTGGTGAGCTGTCTGCTTGTCCATCATCTCAATGATGACTTTCTCCGTTGGTGTCATGTATCCTGATGAGAGAGCGAATCAACTGTGACATGTATAAACACACATATAACTACACATGCATACAAATGAATCAGCTGCTGAGCTGGCAAGCATCAAGAAAAGGAAATTACGAGAACGCGCTCTGCCAGTGTAACTAACAGGGAGAGAACGGCGACCGTAAGAAGGGAGGCCACTGCTGTACCGACCACTCCAAGTGAACATTGTTCAGAACTAAGCTATATACAAGATATGCACCTGCATTGACGAAGTGCTGGTAAGAGGGGAAGCGGCGAGCGACCCGAGGAGAGATCCTGGCGAAGGCGAGAGCGAAGGCCAGGTTGATGTAGCGAGCGAAGGCCTTCCTCAGGATGCGACTGCGATCATCCTGCACCAGAAACACGTTTGGATGAGTATGCCCTCTCATGGTATGATTTGCACGTTCTCTTTGGTTCAATTGGTGGAATACATAATTTTAGCGAGCCAGGTGTTTTGCTATGCTAATTATGTGTATTAATGTGAGTTTCTGATTAATTATGTGTGTTCTCACCTACATGTATACAACTCTTAAACTGAAAAAGTTATCTCTGAAACATATTAAATTATTGATATTAAGTATGAATTACATGTGAATAATTTGATTTGGTTTTATTATTATGCTTATCAAAGTTTATATAGCAATCCGTTCTCCTAATAATGCGTCGCGTTTTGACGTATACTCTACCTAAGGCCAAAAATTATCGCATTAGAAAATGGTAGCGGCTTGCGAAATTGACATACTGTCCCGGTTTCTGTTTTGGGTTCTCTGGTACGTTATGATACGGGCACGTTAGTACGACAGTTTCTTGACGTTGCTAAACTTTAGGAGGACGGGCTGCCAATAGAGCCTAAACCAACCACTAACCTTCCCAAGGATGCAACCCACAATAGTTATCTAACTCCCGGGTATCTATTTACTGCTCGGTGAACAGAGGCATCAGGTTTAAAGTCGTAACTTTTAGTACCAAGTTTTTGGCTCAATTTCTGATATTTCCTGGTAAGGTTATTTTGAGATGATTTCGGGGCTTTTTAGAGTCCCCGCGGCCCGGTCCTCGACCAGACCTCCACCCCCAGGAAGCAGCCCGTGACAGCTGACTAATACCCAGGTACCTATTTTACTGCTAGGTAACAGGGGCATAGGGTGAAAGAAACTCTGCCCAGTGTTTCTCGCCGGCGCCTGGGATCGAACCCAGGACCACAGGATCACAAGTTCAGCGTGCTGTCCGCTCGGCTGACCGGACAAGAAGATTGAAGCTCTAGAAAACTTAGCTATGGCAAAGCGATAGGGGTGTAGAGGAGAATGAAACAGAGAGGGAAGAAAGTAAGAGGATGGCGTATCACAGATGAACTGAATGAATGAATTATCAGGGGAAAACACCCAGCCATTACGACTATATAGCACTTGGAAAGGATCAGGATAAGGATTTAGGATTGAAATTGAAATAAGTTTATTGCGGTAAAATGCACACAAAGGGATCAGGTAGCTCAAGCTATCCTCACCCCGTGTTAATACATACATAGACACACATCACAAACAATAAACATATTACCAAAAGGATTTAGGATGGGACGGGGGAAAAGGAATGGTGACCAACTTACTTGGACGGTCGGGGATTGAACGCTAACCAGCATGAAGCGAGACCGTCGCTCTACCGTCCACCCCAAGTGGATGGAGTATCACGGATGGAAAAGTCTCGCGAAAATGAACTATCCACTAATGATGACAGTGTGGTGGAAAATTTTGACGGAGAGGCTAAGGAAAAATTAGTACAAAAAATAGAATTTAAAGAGGCTATGGACATGGCGAGGTCACTTATCAATGAAATAAAACACAGCAAAGTTAAAAGTCTGAGAATATAGTGAGAAAAATTACAGCATCTACGTTGTATTCCTCCCATGTTGGTGTTAATTGTTTCTTTGGCAATGAAATACATTCTTTTAGGACATCATGCTTTGTAGCATTAGATCCTGTACTCAATAAACTTACTTGAACTGACGGGTGATGTGGTATGACGCATGCGTAAGAATGCATATCACAATATCTTCCTGACTAGCCACAACGTTTCCTCAAGCTGGTCCATAGCGTTATCTTAACAAATACTTATAAATATATATCATCCAAGATCTAAGTAGACTTCTACGGTAATATATTTATACCTACTCTCAACTTCCCCAAGTCACAGATACCATTAGTGATACTGTAGGCATCACTTCAGTATGAATATCTTATGTAAATATAAATGTATATGTTAAAGTATAAACTAAACATAGTCCGCAAGTCATTGCAATTATTATTATTATTATTATTATTATTATTATTATTATTTTTATTATTATTATTATTATTACTGAGAAAATCCACTAGGTCTATAGGTGGGCGGGAACCTACGACCATGGCACTGTCAAGTCGCATAGCCCAAGTGGATTTTCTCATTGATATATAATTATATATCACTTTAATGTGATTTCTGTGTGATTATTATTAATGTAAACGACGGTTTGGTTATATACACAGAAATCTAAACTTCCAATAGGCCTGAGTACATTTACTGAGTACTGTGGTAGAAAATAATAATAAAAAAAAAATAGGCCTGAGTAGACAGATACTCACATACTCACAAGTACTAATACGTACTCACATTCTCACCATACTCACAAATGTCAAGACATGCTCACAAGTGTCAAGACATACTCACAATCACCAAGACATAACTCACAAGCACCAAGCCATAACTCACAATCACCAAGCCATAACTCACAAGTATGAAGACGTACTCACAGGTGTCAAGACGTACTCACAAGGCCGCGGATGTAGGTAGAGACGAGAATACAAGCAGTGTCAGGCCAGGGAATGAGCATGTACTGGGCCCACCACCGCTGCACCACGATGGTCACGTAGAACCCCAACACGAAGGAGATGGGGAACACGTTCCGGAAGTACTCACACGAGATGGAGATCTTCTCAAACAATCTGAAGGAAGGGACACATATTCTAACAATCTGTGGGTAGGGACACATATTCTAACAATCTGTGGGTAGGGACACATGTTCTAACAATCTGTGGGTAGGGACATATTCTAACAATCTGTGAGCAGGAAGGTCCTATCAGCACATTCTAACATAAAGCCTAACCAACACTATGAAAAATATATAATTCTTACTCACCTCTTACTATTGTCATCGAGCGCAAATCGGTAGACTAACGAGCAGGAAAAGTAGAGTAGAAAGTAGACTAGTAGATCTGGCCACACAAGCTTGAACACACTTCCCCGCCACCTGTTAAATTATATAGTTTGTAATTAGTGAACGTCCTTGTCTGTTCAGTTGAACTACGTATATATGTTCAGGCGTACATATGGAAATAATTTATATATAACCAAACTCTCACTTGTGGACCCCTACCATAAAACAGGTGGAGCTAGTAAAACTTTCCGCACCTGTGGACCCCTTCAATAAAACAGATGGAGCTAGTCAAATTAACTGCAGCTATTGCCTCGTCAAATATGGACCTGCTTAGAAAGTGGATAAATTTCTGGATAAAGGAAATACGCCTGTCGCCCCTTCTTGGGCCGGCTGCGCGCGTATAGCATGGGGCATATTTAAGCAGATGCCCTGGCACAGCTCTTCCTTGCTCCCTGTCGTTGTGCTTCGTGTAAACAGCCAATTCCAAACCAGACTCCCCATGAGCACTCTAATGAAGTGTTTGGTATATAGCTGGCTTTCAGCTTGTCTGTGTAAAGTCAGGAGGTGGTCTTGCTTTCTGTAGGGTTCTTCATCGTTTTCTATTTTGTGTTCACCCTTGTCTCACGGTTTTGTCTCCCCCTTTTATCTTTGTCTATAACCGGGGCTACCTTGAAGGACTCTTATTGGTAGGATGCCTCGCCGGAATCCCCAAAAATGTCCCACTTCTGGCCGTAAACGTAATTGCATAGTTTAGTAAAAAATTTACATAGCTCATCTCTACGGCCTTGCAAAGTTTGAAGGTTAAATTCTTAGTCTCATTTAGGTGTTACTATGTGTAAATTTGAATTACTTTATGGTTTTACTCATGGTAATTGCCCCCGGTAACTACCTCATGTTTTCTAGGTTATTTCCTTTACCTTACATTTATGGTACAAGCTTTACGATCTTAATTCCTAATGTATTTCTATGTTAATGACTTTATGTTACAATTGGTACAACGGTTTTGGTACTAACTCCACGGTCTTAAACCGTTACGTACTTTGTGTACTCTGTTAATTACTAATGTGTTCTTTATATAAAGTTACAAGTCATATAACTTTTTACTTACGTCTACTTGTATCTGAATTGTAAGGAGTCTGTACATTACTTAGTCTATTAAATTACAAATGTTAGTCATTAAATTTACAACTGTTACTTAGTCTATCAAATGACATTTTTTGTATTGTACTTAATATTAAAAATGTTCTTCATGCCATTAAAAGTTCCCATTAAAAGTCCCCCATGGATTGTTTCCTTTAAGCCAGAAAACACACATTCCAACGTCCTATGCCTGTATTGTTATTCTTAATTAAAACTCTATACATACATACAGGAGACATTCTCTTCAACACACATGTGAGTATTTTATTTAAGTGAAATACAATATACTGGTGTACTGAATGGTCATGGGTTCCATGAAATTATTCCATGGAGATTTTGGCGTCCATGAACCCCTGATTTGGGAACCAATGCTCATACTGTCCTTTGTTTAATATTTGAGTATTGTGACCCCAGATGAGTCAACTTAGGGTGTCCATAGATTCACCTCACTCACTGCCTCTCATCACGTGAGTAAGTTGGTACATGAGGCAAACTTGGCTGAATATCTGGGAACCAATTTATTGTCAATTTTTTATTTTCTTAACAAGCCAGAGGGTCATGTTCCCTATAGGATCCCATTACTGTGTAACCTAGTACCCTGAGGGTCCCTTTACTGTGTAGCCTAGTACCATGGAGGGTCCCTTTACTGTGTAGCCTAGTACCCTGAGGGTACCTTTACTGTGTAGCCTAGTACCCTGAGGGTCCCATTACTGTGTAGCCTAGTACCCTGAGGGTCCCTTTACTGTGTAGCCTAGTACCCTAAGGGTCGACCATAGCGTGTCTTGATATCTGAAACGATTTAATATCCAAGCAAATCCACTGCATAATCATAATCCATCAAAGATTTACACAACCACTTACGAAACCTGTACATCTTTCCTCAATCATGGCGGCTTTGTTTACATTTATTAAACAGTTTATGAGCTCCGAGAGACTATGAGGTTGTGAGGTTGTTTATAACAATAATAACCTCGGGTTGTGAAGTTTCCAAGCTCGTAAACTGTTTAATAAATGTAAACAAAACTGTCATTATTAAAGAAAGATGTTCAGGTTTCTTAAATGGTTGCATAGTTCTTAATGAATCCTGGGCCTGGAAAATACACAACTTGATTGGGAACCAACTTATTTGCATAACAGCTGTGAGGTCCCCCATACCGTTCAGCATAGTTGGTTGATTTGTATATAGTTTTATGAGTATTTTATGAGGTAGGTGTGTGTGAGGGGGTGCAGGTGTGTGAAGGGTACAGGTGTGCGACCATACTCACCTAAACAGAAGCTTGGAGAAGCCACAGAAGCTGGTGTTTGTGACCTTCTTGGTGTAGGTCACAGTCATTTCCACACCTGCAAGAGACACCATATGTACACACACATGATACACCTGCACATACATGCAACAAACCCCTCCCCCCCCTTTCCCACACACACACACACACATATACAGAATATTAGATAAACGACGGTTAGAGAGGCGAGGTCCAAGAGCTAAGAGCTCGATCCTGCAGGCGCAAATAGGTAAAATAAACATACATATATATGCTCCCATCCTCTTACTGAACCCCACTACATGTTTAACGCAATCGACCCCAGCGTAAAGATTGCGGTGGTTTAGCGAAAGTAAGGTCCTTTAGTATGAGGGAGGTCTTACTTTCCCTCCGGATGAGAGAGTACCTCCCGGGCAGGAAACAGAGTAACGGCGAAAGAAAAGAAGTCAGAGTGGTGAGAGGCCTCAAATGAGGTGGCACACATCACATTGCATCTATGATCGATAGGCTGATCAGTCTGCTGTGTTGGAAACCTTGCGTGTTCACGAGCACCATATGGAGGATCCACAAGGTTGTTGTTGTTAGGTTAGGTCAGCCGTGGCGTCATCCTAATTGGCCTCTCTCTTTTTCGCCGTAATTGTCATTGTCACTGACGATAGTGGCACAATGTGGCCTACCACGCAGCCCTGGGGAAGACATCAGGTCGCCGGAGGGAGTCACTGCGACCTCCAATACACAGAGGTAATGGAGGTCACAGGCCGGGCACCCGGGGTCACGGAGGGGCCAGGTTGGGGGGCTACTGATCAATAGGTGGCCAGCACTACTGGCACGCCACAGTCATTCACGGAACATGCTAACTACACACTTTCATTGTATCACATTCACAAATTCAGCAGTTCGATCGGGAAACGTGTGGGGGGGGGGGGGGCAGGTTTCCTTGGTAACGAGACAACTGGTGGCAATGAACGACCTCACCCGACCGACACTTCTCTTTCCCTCTCACTGCTCACATGATAATGTATTAATGTTCAGCTTTTTCCTTTGCCTTCGTTCCGGGAGGAATACATACTCATCTTCACCAACGTCCTCATCACCTGGGTACTCATCTTCACCTACGTCCTCATCACCTGGGTACTCATCTTCACCTACGTCCTCATCACCTGGGTACTCATCTTCACCAACGTCCTCATCACCTGGGTACTCATCTTCACCAACGTCCTCATCACCTGGGTACTCATCTTTACCTACGTCCTCATCACCTGGGTACTTATCTTCACCTGGGTACTCATCTTCACCTACGTCCTCATCACCTGGGTACTCATCTTCACCAACGTCCTCATCACCTGGGTACTCATCTTCACCAACGTCCTCATCACCTGGGTACTCATCTTCACTTGTGTACTCAGCTTTATCTATGCCACAGTATAACTTATATTATGCTCTTATTGAGGCATATCTCGTTACAAACGCTGGGGATTTGAAGCCAGAAGACATGTTAAGATAAAATATTATTATGATAAATATTTAATCCAAAGTAACTATAATATATGGGTAGATAAGAGGACAGGATAGGAGCTGGGATATGAGGACAGGATAGAAGGTGTACATGAGGACAAGACCGGCACTTGGATATGAGGAGGGAGGCGAGAGCTTGATGTGGGACCTTCCTTCATCATGTCAATAAACTTACTGAAGAGAGAGTGGGAAATTTTTCACCCTGTGAACAAGAGGATTCAAGAACCATCAGTTACTGTCAGTCGCAGTGTAAGGGTTAACATAAAATCACAAACAATGCATAGCAAATGAAAAGAAAATATAATTAGATTTTTTCTTGAGAAGGGGAAACTCAACTACAGTGAGCGGCTTAGAGCACACCTCAACCTCACCACGTTCAACGTAAAATTAAATATAGGAGATATGATTACAACATACAACATACTAGCAGAGTAAACATGTAGATATTAAATACAACAACAAACTAAAGAACATAATTAGAAGCTTGAGACACAAATGAGATATGAAAGGAAAACCTCTTTAACATTAGTCCCACGTAAATTATTACAATAAGAGATTACCGAGACCAAATCAATAACCCAAAAATGAAATATAATGAGAAACACGAGGCAATAAAGTCATAGCATTAAGTTTGAGGGTTAACGCTAAAGCTTAACCCAGCAGGAAGACTGCATCACAAATGCTGCCCAGAATCACACACAGAGATCACACTAACGTGATGCATCAAATGAACAAATCCACAGGGCCGTACAAGGATTCGAACCTGCGTCCGTCGATTAAGGCAGTGTCTGGGATGCTCCCGGACGCAGGTTCGAATCCTCGTACGGCCCTTGTGGATTTGTTCTGCCCAGAATGATCACATACAGTACCAAGCACCTTAAGAGAGCACCGCTTGCCGCCACCATGAACCCAGAGGCACTAATAGCCAAGAGCAACGTCAATTCAACGCAGAACCAACGTCACTCTTCGATATAGTGGCCGCTGGGAAGCAGCCAATGGCCACGAAGCGACGCCCCAGAGAAAAATTTGCATGAGCTAATGAACAGCCAAAAAAAAAAAGATAAAAAAAATAATAAAAAAATGGTATTGGATTTCAGGATGACAAGAAATTGGATGAAACTAAACCACTAAATGAAGGCAGATGACTGGAGGAATGGAACAAGTTTTTGTTTACCAATCAGCGAGTCTGCTGCCTTTCACTGTTATATGGAGCGTCTTGGCATCCCTCTCGGGTAAATCTCGGCGAATTACGTTAATGTAACACACTGAATCATCGTTGATCTTACAACGATTCCACGTTGATTCTACGTTAATTTGTTGAATGAACGTTCATCCTCTGTTGATTTAACGTTGAATCTACGTCGATTTACCGTTCTTTCTACATTTATTTAACGTTGATCCTTGATTTAATATTCTCTCTACGCTGAGTTAACGTTACCTGAGAATAATGTGTCTGCTGGGACCTGGACCAATAGCTGGGATACATGAAAGAAAATGCTGTAGAAAGTATCAAGTAGCCAAACATACATAGTAGAAAGGATCAATTAGTCAAATATACTCAGTAGAAAGGATCAATTAGTCAAACATAACCCAATTCATAAAGACGTTGTACAACAATTACAAAGATCCAGATATATATTTTTAGTGTAATGATAAAATTAGAAAGAAATATGAAAAATTACATTATCTTTGATAATAGCTAGCAATATGGGAGAAAGTTTGGTGTTTGGCTTAAGGCCTATCAACGTCTGGAGGGTAATTAATTAAAGCGTATTAACCTCTAGAGGTTTATTAAGGTCTTTAAGGGTTTAAGGGTACCTTAAGGGTTTATTAAGGACCTGTACTTGAGATCGATCTCGAACCCATTGTTGATGTGACGACTTATACTGAATTTTGTAACTAGCTCATCAAGATTGTAACTTGCTTAGCTAAATGAAATGTGGGGTTCAGTCCCTGAGCCCATTATGTGCCTCTGTAACCCTTTCCACTACCGCCCACAAGATGGGTATGGGGTGCATAATAAATGAACTAAACTAAGGGTAAGGGTTTATTAAGGTTTAAGGATTAAGTAAGGTCTATCAACCACTGGTACAAACTGTCCGAAACGCTAGGCGTGTTAGAGGTATTGCAAGTATGTAAAAATATCACTAACCTAACCTCACCAACCCATTGTACCTTCTTGTAAATTAATTATCATTATTACTATTATTACTGCATGTTTATTAAGGTCTATCAACCTCTCGAGGGGTTATTAAGGGGGTTAAGACCACCACAACAACTTATTAGGTAAGCAAACTTAATAAATTAAGCAAACTAAAGTAAACTCAGTGTGAATATACCATATACCAAGATATACGTATCTTGGTATATGGTATATCAAGATATCTATGTATATCAAGATATACATAGGTACACCTTGGTGTATATAACTCTCTCGTGAAGATAGGTTATTCCATCATTAATGGGCAGTATATATAATTTAAATACAGTTAAAATAAATGAAAATTCACCAAATAATAGAGACAACAACTAGGATATGGGAGGAAAAGCCTACTGACCACCGTGAAGAAGAAAACGGGAGAGCGAGCAAGGTCAAAGTTAATGACAGACTCGCCCAAAATCAATAACCTGGGAACCATACGACCCAGTCACAACGGACAGGTCGACAGTCAAACTCCTAAATAATGTATCAACATAAAAATAAAGCCACAAGGGTAAGGAAAGGTGACAAACCAGGTATATGGAGTGACATTTGTCAAGCCACCGGCTTCCTGTCCCCCATCGAGGTGACTAGAAAGATAGTGGCTCAAAGGTAAGTTTTTACAAGGCAAAAGGAGTTTTAGAAATTAATACCTTTGCTTTAGTAGGCAAAGGCAGCCATGTACTCGAAATAAGATCTGCGGTTTGATGCGGTGTCAGCAATGTCTGGGAAAGACAATGGAGACTAAAAAAGGTGGACTTCCAAAGAGAGATAAATGAAGAACTAAAAAAAAGTATTTGCGAGAGCAAATGATGTACGAACTGAAATTAAAGCTGAAAGCGGTGTCTGCATATCGAGAGAGAGAGAGAGAGAGAGAGAGAGAGAGAGAGAGAGAGAGAGAGAGAGAGAGAGAGAGAGAGAGAGAGAGAGAGAGAGAGAGAGAGAGAGAGAGAGAGAGAGAGAGTGCAGTGCTGCTCAAGAAGGCAGATTTGCCTACTATGGTCAAAGTATAATTGGTAGAATTTTTACTTTATTTTTGGTGTGATCAGCGCTTAACGTTTTACATGAAACAAATGGTAACGCGAGCTATTGCATGGGAGTAAGTTTAGCACAGTGTCATGGGGGCACCCTTTCTTTGACGCCAATCCCGACCCATCCATGATATGCACGCTCCCAATAGCAATCACTGTGAACAATTGGGTGAAGCTATCCACAAGCGCCTGGTCTCCAGCCCCGAACAGAGATACGCATTTCCATTTATATAGATTACTGTATATACACATACCGTGTAATCTTTACCTTCTGGGCCTTAGCCCAGAGAGCGAGGAAGTTTATTTTAAATAAATATTGCATTTGTAATGGCTTCGCTGTTAATTAAACCGCCGGACGGAGCAAACTTCATTCATTATGGTAAACTGTAAATAATGTAAACCCACAGGAATATACAAACTTAATGACAGAATAATTTATGATTACTGGGTAATGAAATTGCAATTAAAATCATCATCACTCAATGGAAGTCAGAGTGGTGGTGGTGATGTCAAGGTGGTGATGATGATGTCAAGGTGGTGGTGGTGATGTCAGAGTAGTGGTGGTGATGTCAGAGTAGTGGTGGTGATGTTAGTGTGGTGGTGATGATGTTAGAGTGGTGGTGATGTCAGAGTAGTGGTGGTGATGTTAGTGTGGTGGTGATGATGTTAGAGTGGTGGTGATGTCAGAGTAGTGGTGGTGATGTCAGAGTAGTGGTGGTGATGATGTCAGGGTAGTGATGATGTCAGGAAGGTTGTGTTAGGGCTTGCTGTCCCATCGAGACAACTAGACATGATGGCCTTAAGGTAAACACCGAAAAGCCTAACAGTTTTCTACTTAAGAAAAGTAGAAAACGTTAAGCCAGAATGATTAACTTTAGCACACGGAAAGGATATGAGGACAAGGAGCTGGGATATGAGGACAAGGAACCGGGATATGAGATCAATCAGCTGTAATATGAGTACGGAGCGAAGGAACAGTGCCCAACCACATGGACCATTGGGGATCGAACGACGACCATGCATGAAACAATGTGCCCGCTCTACCAACCAGTCTAATGACCCCTTATGCTTGTCTGCTTCCACTGTCAGACGCGCAACAAGAATTATGAGCTGGAGGAGTTGAGATTCAAGAAGGATATGATGAAGTATTGATTTTGCAAATAGAAGAATGGAATAGTTATTATCATAGAGTTAAATAGGTACACATTGCTTTAAAAATAGGCTTGGTATATAGCCAAGGCGCGTCTGGGATCCTCTCGGACGTAGATTCGAATCCTCATCACGGCCCTTGTAGATTTGTTAGGCTTGGTATATACATAGCTTGGCCCATTGTCGTCTTTTTCAATTATTGACTGCCTGACCTTCTTATTCTAAGTCGAAAGTAACTTATATGTGGAATATCTTAGTAGATTCACTACACACAGAAATCACACTAACGTGATGCATTAAATGAACCCTGTCGTAGCTCAGTCGATTAAGGCAGTGTCTGGGATGCTCCCGGACGCAGGTTCGAATCCTCGTCACGACCCTTGTGGATTTGTTCATTTAATTGAGTCACGTCAATCTCAATGCAGTTTACTGAGCACTCAAGTCTATTGCTAACTATTATTAACTGTGCAATGCACTTAATACTTGTGAATTGCTTAGCAAAGTCAATTGCTCACAACAGGCTCAAGGTGATTAACTAATCAATACAGCTTAACTGCACTGCTCCGAAGGATACCTGATCAACCGGGCTGTAATTGAGATGTCAGATTGCCAGCGGCGGTGTCTGACAGCCTGATTGACCAATCAGGAGACCTGGTCAGAGAATCAGTAACACCGATTCCTTGAACCAGCTCAAGGCCCACCAACCCATCTTTGTAAAATGTTCAGTACTTACAGCAACTATTTGGTGCGAACGAATTTACGGGCTATTCATGCCCGTGCCACCTCTTGGGTGGCTTAATCTTCATCAATTAATCAATCATTACACACAGAAATCACAATATATTAACTATATTGACTGAATATTAACTGATATATTAACGATATATTAACAGTGTGATATATTAACTGAACAAATCCACAAGGGCAATGATGAGAGTTCGAGCCTACGCACGGGATGTTCCCAGACGCGACTTAGTCAACTTAGTACAGGTGTGGTGGTACAGTTGACTAAGACGCGTGTCTGGGAACATCCCGTCCGTAGGTTCGAACCCTCACAACTGCCCTTGTGGATTTGTTCTTTAAACCTAAACTTTCTATAGCATATATATGTACTATATTAGGCCTAAGATAGCATATATATATATATATAAGGCCAAGGATTGCATAGATAAGTAAGGTTCTTTGATGTCCATGTTGGGCTAATTCAATAATACAGAAACTGAATTGTTTTGGTCCAACAATTCATTTTCACACGTTTGACCAAATATCAGCTATAAGGTGAGGAAATTATCGGGAGAAACCGCTAAGCCAGTATGACTATATAACACTAGGAGTGCATGAGAGTGTAAAGATGTGCGATAGGACGGAGGGGGGGGGGGAAATTGTGCCCAACCACTTGGACCATAGGGAATCGAACGCCGACCTGCAAGAAGCGAGTACAGTTAGTCCAAATGGTTGGATATAGTTGCCATAATTACTATATCCTTATTGGAGGATAAGCAGAGGTTAGACAAAAGGTATATGTTGTTGTTGTTGTTGAAGAGTTAGGGGCAGCTACAGCACTACGAGGAAGGTATGTTGCTGTTGTTGTTGTTGAAGGGTTAGGGGCAGCTACAGCACTACGAGGAAGGTATGTTGTTGTTGTTGTTGAAGGGTTAGGGGCAGCTACAGCACTACGAGGAAGGTATGTTGGTGTTGTTGTTGAAGGGTTAGGGGCAGCTACAACACTACGAGGAAGGTATGTTGTTGTTGTTGTTGAAGGGTTAGGGGCAGCTACAGCACTACGAGGAAGGTATGTTGGTGTTGTTGTTGAAGGGTTAGGGGCAGCTACAACACTACGAGGAAGGTATGTTGTTGTTGTTGTTGAAGGGTTAGGGGCAGCTACAGCACTACGAGGGCCCCCTCTCTTAGTGTTTACCACAGAAAACGTGGCACAAGATCCTTGTAGGGGAAACTCACCTGCTCCTCACCACCTGCTTTGGCACGTTTGATCCAGGCTGACGCGTGCCGCAACCACGCCTGTCACAAACAAATAGGAATAAAATATTTACATAAGGTGTATACCTACGTATATACAAGTATATATATATATCAGGAGAATACGCTAAGTCTATATGACTATATAGCACTTGGAAGGGAACCTATGCGTGGGAACACCTACAGTATAGGGTTCGAACCTAAATCACTGCTCTTACGGATTTTCTGATATTGTTGTTGCTCATGGTGATGATGAGTGGTGATAGTGGTTCACTGTGGTGGTTGATGAATAGTGGTGGTGATAGGGGTGTAGGTGGTGGTGGCGGGGGTGTAGGTGGTGGTGTAGGTGGTGGTTAGTGCTTGTATCACACGGTGGTGTGTGGTTGGCACCTAACAATCAAACAGGCAATTAAATACACGTCAAATTAGTCTTAATTGCTTCAGAGAACATGAAAATGTTTATTGTCATCTCGGTCGGGAACATGAGTGTTCCCAGGTGCTAGGACACGAGAAGGTGTCCACAGGTGCTAGGACACGATAAGGTGTCCACAGGTGCTAGGACACGAGAAGGTGTCCACAGGTGCTAGGACACGAGAAGGGTGTCCACAGGTGCTAGGACACGAGAAGGGTGTCCACAGGTGCTAGGACACGAGAAGAGTGTCCACAGGTGCTAGGACACGAGAAGAGTGTCCACAGGTGCTAGGACACGAGAAGGATGTCCACATTTTACTGCTAGGTAACAGGGGCATAGGGTGAAAGAAACTCTGCCCATTGTTTCTCGCCGGCGCCCGGGATCGACCCCGAGACCACAGGATCACAAGTCCAGCGTGCTGTCCGCTCGGCTGACCGGTTCCCCTGGGTGGCTTTGGTTTGGGCCTGTGAGGGTTGAAAATGAGGGCCTCATGCAGAGGGCAGGAGAGTGTGGATGTAAACACTGTTCTCTTGTCCCTGTCACTTAACATTATTTTCCTTGGCTTCAGAAAGATAAACATAGTTTGCCTATGTCCCTTGATCCCCTTAACTAGTGTCCTTAACTGCCATTATTCCTCCCCCGTGTGAGTAGAGATCAATGAATCATTACTTAAGTGTTCAGAGCTTACTCTTTATCACCCATTCCTCTTACCACTCTACAGTGACTTCTAAGTGGCTGAGAGTCATTTGAGCTGAGAGATCCATGGGTCTCTGTACTCAGCCTTGCCAGTAGGAAATTAAGAGATACTCTTCCCTTGTTTCACTTCCGGTCCCTGATCCGGGATTATTAATGTAACAATCAATCGATAATTCAGAAATGGTGGCAGCGAAAATGTTACTGTAACTTACTGGTGTTGTGTAAGGCTGTTTATGTCAAGTGTAGAGATATCTCTCTCTCACACTATCTCTCTCTCTCTCTCTCTCTCTCTCTCTCTCTACTTTCTCCTATCACTCCTTGTCTTACCCTCTCCCTCTCCCTCCCTACCTTCCCTCCTCCTCTTCCCCTGCCTGAAGCTTGCTACATATTCCAGGCGTTATAATTAAAATCAGAACCAGAGTCGTTATAAAACTTATTATAATAGTGAGCCGTCTTTTACTGCTAGGTGAACACAGACACTACATGAAAGCAATATATATATATATATATATATATATATATATATATATATATATATATATATATATATATATATATATATATATATATACTGTATTTGTGTTTTATTATGGGTAGAATAGGTTAGGTTAGGTTAGGTTAGGTTAGTTTAGGTTAGGTTGGGGTTGGTTAGGTTAGGTTAGGTTAGGTTAGGTTAGGTTAGGTTAGGCAAGGTTAGGTTAGGTTAGGTTAGGTTAGGTTGGGGTTGGTTAGAATAGGTTAGGTTAGGTTAGGTTAGGTTAGGCTAGGTTAGGCTAGGTTGGGGTTGGTTAGGTTAGGTTGGGATAGGTGTGTTGGGAGAGTAAGGATGACGTAGAGAGGTTCATAGGTGCGTCAGGTCCTGGACCCCACTCTCGTGGTCCGGACCATGACGGCGCCAACCATACTTCAAGTATTTGGATTTTTCGACAATTTGCTTCCGAAATTAATTCGATAAATGAAGACAGAATGGGGAGTTGGGGACGCCAGTGTTGGAGGTGCCAGTGGTGGAGGTGCCAGTGTTGGAGACGTCAAGGTTCATTTACCCAGGAACTCTTAACTGGGAACTAATTTAAAATATATATTATATCATAAGTATTTATTTATTTGTGTTAGTCTCTGATATAAGGGAAGTGTTGAGGGTAAGGAGAGAGGGAGGGGGACCACAGAGCTAAGCCTCACAGCCCCGTAGGTAACAGGTAGGTAGGTGGTGATAGGTAGGTACGGGGGCTGGTGGATTATTGACCTGCTCCTAGTTCACCCTCTCCTCCGTGTTCCACAACACTCAATAGGATGTCTCTCTCTCTCTCTCTCTCTCTCTCTCTCTCTCTCTCTCTCTCTCTCTCTTTCCTACCTGCGCCTGCCTCTCCACCTCTCTTCCCTCACCTCGCCCCCTCATAGTCTTTCTCCCTCTCACTCTCGGGTCGTTCTCACAATTCCCTCACCAATTCACTCTCCATTGTCTCTTAGGCTTCGCCTTAGTCGCCCCTGCTCCAGCCCTTGCCTTAGCCCCTGCCCTGCTCCAGGCCTTGCCTTAGCCCCTGCCCTGCTCCAGCCCTTGCCTTAGCCCCTGCCCAGCTCCAGGCCTTGCCTTAGCCCCTCCCCTACTCCAGCCCTTGCCTTAGCCCCTGCCCTGCTCCAGCCCTTGCCTTAGCCCCTTCCCTGCTCCAGGCCTTGCCTTAGCCCCTGCCCTGCTCCAGGCCTTGCCTTAGCCCCTCCCCTGCTCCAGCCCTTGCCTTAGCCCCTTCCCTGCTCCAGGCCTTGCCTTAGTCCCTCCCCTGCTCCAGAACTTCGGTAAACTCCACCCCTCCCCACCGCACTTTCCCCCCTGCCCCTTCACCCTCCGGTGGGTACCGGTCTACTTAAGCATCTCATAACTTTCAGGCTTCATCTCCACATTAAGGGAGATTAAAACTCTGTCAGTTCCTTTTCCCCCACCCCCCACCCCTGACAGCAGTGGGGTCTTCTCCCCCACCCCCGTGACAGCAGTGGGGGCTTCTCCCCACCCCCTGACAGCAGTGGGGTCTTCTCCCCCACCCCCGTGACAGCAGTGGGGGCTTCTCCCCACCCCCTGACAGCAGTGGGGTCTTCTCCCACCCCACCCTGAGAGCAGTGGGGTCTTCTCCCACTCCCTGAGAGCAGTGGGGTCTTCTCCCACTCCCCTGAGAGCAGTGGGGGCTTCTCCCCACCCCCTGACAGCAGTGGGGTCTTCTCCCACCCCCCTGAGAGCAGTGGGGTCTTCTCCCACTCCCCTGAGAGCAGTGGGGTCTTCTCCCACCCCCCTGACAGCAGTGGGGGCTTCTCCCCACCCCCTGACAGCAGTGGGGGCTTCTCCCACTCCCTGACAGCAGTGGGGGCTTCTCCCACTCCCTGAGAGCAGTGGGGACTTCTCCCACTCCCCTGACAGCAGTGGGGTCTTCTCCCACTGAAAGCAGAAGTTGCCCAACACACTGGACATAACCTTACAGAAGGGAACATACGAGTCATAAGTATCCATACACAGCCTAAGTAAAACAGACACGAGAAACAACACTTAAGAGGCTCAGGACCGCACAGGAATATCCATGAAAAAGATCCCCTGAAAATAGTGATGGCTTCTCCCCCTGAGAGCGGTGGGGGGCTTCTCCCCCTGAGAGCGGTGGGGGGCTTCTCCCCCTGAGAGCGGTGGGGGGCTTCTCCCCCTGAGAGCGGTGGGGGGCTTCTCCCCCTGAGACCGGAGGGGGGCTTCTCCCTCTGAGACCGGAGGGGGGGCTTCTCCCTCTGAGACCGGAGGGAGGGCTTCTCCCCCTGAGAGCGGTGGGGGGCTTCTCCCCCTGAGAGCGGTGGGGGGCCTCCTCCCCACCTCTCTGACCTTTACCAGCATGCAACCCACAACAGCTGCCTAACTCCCAAGTAGTAGTTACTAACTCCTGGGGTAAAGAGAGGCATCACGTGAAAGAAAACGTACCCAAACATGTCAATCCTCTCGCGGCGGGAATCGAACCCGGATCATCTGGGTCGTGACTGCGCTAACCACGGTAGGCTACAGAATATTCAGTGCGTCATTTTTTGTACGCATTTGTACGCATTTATCAGGCGGGTAGACGGTACAGCTGACAGAGTCAATTAATAGTTTGGTGAGTCCAAGCTGCCCTTGGCCTACATGTACATTGTGCCAAGTATTTCCTTCCTCTCTAACCATACATTTTAGGGAGGGGGGAGTTAGGGTGGTGATGGAGAGGTAAGGAAGGTTAGGTTAGGTTAGGTTAAGAAGGGAGGGAAGAATGGGGGGTGGGGGGTGATGTAGGTAAAATGGGGCAAGATGGGGTGCGGGCGGGGGAATTAGGGATGTAGGGAAGGTGTTTAAGGGACAGTCTTTCTCCATCCATAAATTTAAGCTCCTCCCACAAAAGTATTAAGGTTTTAACATCGGCCTCAATAGGTTATGCTGTTGTTGTTGTTGTTGTTTACGATTTTCTACATGGAACAAAAAGTTCTAAGTAGCACGGGCTATGGTGAGCCCGCAGTGGACTTATGCTATTGAGTTTGTTCGATTCCAGTTATACAAAAAAAATTGCATTTTTTACGTTTCTGGTTAGACAAACTCGTTCATGACTGTAACCATCTGCACTAGACAATCACTGTAATCAACTCGCTGGGCCAATTAAGTGTTGGGAGGCTCAAGAATGTGAGGTCAGATCACGCGCCTTACACTCTAATGACTCCTATGTATAAAGTCTAGTTTTTCCTGTCATTAATCTACATATTATCTCTGAGCTAATGATTCCAGTTTCTGTTATTTTGTTTTTAATTTTATGCTTCATTTATCAGTGTTTCTAGGTCTGCTAATTTCTATATTAGACTCACAATATTTCAGTATGTAAATAAATATCTGACTAGACGATAAAGTCTACGGATTAGGGGCCGAACATTTCATATCCACCGAATGAGAAAGGGA